AACAAAATATACATATATACAACACACCCCCCCCCACACACACACTTCTACACATCGTTGGCACAAATTTTGACGTCAGAGCTGCTAGGTTAACGGCTACAGAAAATACTTGGGTAGTACAACAGCTATTCAAACACCACCCGGGTGTAGTCTGCTGTGCAAATGTGTGGCTCGTCGTTGTCTGGCCGCTGTCTGTAGGGCCTGCACTCGGACAAAAGCTGCGTACACCTTGCCCAGCGAGAACTAATTGGAGCAGACAAGGCTTGCTGAGGGAGGCGTTTTTACTGATTCAACTTGCTCCACGGAGCTAAGCAAACATAAGCCATGATCGTTACTGAAGTTGTGCTGCGACGCGAGAGGACATTTAAAATACACTTGTGTTCACAGTAATGGCAGCGGTGTTTTAAAAGAAGTCTGTAAAGCTCAAAATCCTTCACATCGATCTTCGTTGGAGTCCACCTGAAGCAAAATCTTCAAAGATTTTTATTGTTGTACAAACGCACTTCCAATGAAGTTGGGACGTTGTGTTAAATAGAAATGAAACCATAACACAGTGATTACAGATACAGTTTTTATTGATGTTTAACACAAAGTCCCAACTTCATCCGAATTGGGTTTGTACTTTAAATGCAGATGATTTTTCAGACTACTGACCATGAACAGGTGCAGGACTGTTTGATGTCGTGGCTTGAAGAAAAAAAATGATATTCCTGTTGTTTTAGTTTCCATGAACATGCCGTTCCCCACCGTATGAAAGGCCAAGGAAGGAGACTGGGTTCCTTGTGGAGGGCCCCAGGGGGGAATGTGGACGGGAAAAGCAGTGTGGGCCCGTTGGAATCTCCTCAAAGTCAAAGTCAGCATGAGTGCAGCACATTCACTGCGGGAGAGGGGAACAAGGGAAAGGGTCTACATTGTTCACAGTCCCATTTTTGTTTTGTTGTTGTTGTTGTCTTGTGATTCTCACCTACAGAAGCTGACCCGCATCCGGCCCACCACAATGACCACACAAGCTCACCATTCACCATTGTAGAAGGACAAAAGGCCATAACAAATTGTCAAAAGCTTGGTTTCATGATGTTAGTTAATTGGTTGTAGTAGTTTTGTTTACTGTAATATTTCTATATGATTTCAATCAATGCAAAAATATGACATTTTAGCCCGTTTTTACACTAGAAACACCTCAAAAGGGACTAAATAGACTAAAATGATTTTGAGAGTTAAAATTTGTAAATCCAGGTATTAGTGCCCTACCAATGTTTTTAGCCAAGCCACGTATTTTGCAAGGAAAAAAAATCTTGTCACTCCACCAAACAAAAAAATGTCACAAAAAGTGGATACTGTCCCAGGCCATGTACCGTCTGCCATCTAGTGGAAGAGGTTTAATTGTTATGCCTATCGGGATGCGTCAGTGGCATGGAAGATGGTCAAAGAAAACAAATATATGTATATTGATATAGATGTAGATATAAAGAACATTTCCCCTCCTACCTGAAGGTAATAGAGAAATTAATTTCCTGTTGTGTGCGTGTATCTGTGTGTTTTGTGACTAATTTATCCTCTACTGCTCCATAAATTCTTCAGTTTCTATGTTAAAATAGGTTTAGTTAGATTGTAACTATATTGACGTTACATTACAATATTCCTTTTTTTTTATGAGGGATGACGGGTGGAATTCATGAAGTTCCAATTGCTTTTCACGTCAATTGTCCTTTATAATTTTCCGTAGCGGCCGCTGTTGCTATGGTAACAAGAACTCGTGGAATTGGACCAAACGTTTGTTAACGAAGGTAAAATTGCGCGCCAATACCATTTCACCTGACGGGACGGCCAGTGTTACAATTTAGCATATATTCCCGGTTGTGGCGCGACTTTTAATATGTTTTTGGCAACTCAATGAGTGCTAGTCAGGTGAAAAAAAGTCGACAATCAGCGTCACAATATGTCGGAGGTTCTCCTCACCTCCTCCGACACGGAGGAGGAAGACGCCGATGAAGAGTATGAAGAGGAGGTTGGTGTTCATTTAAGTATTTTGAACCACGTTTATTTGTTCACTCGAAAAAGTTGTGAAGGCAGCTGTTTCATGGGGGTGCTAACATCATGGAAAATAAAAGTTGAGGCAAAAGTCAGTATGCTACACGTTTGAACTGAACTTGCGGGAAGAAGAATTTGTGAAAGGAAGGAAAGAAGGAAGCGAGGAAAGGATGCATGACGTAAAGACGGATGAGGGAAGTCAAGAAAAATTGAAGGGAGGAAAAGAATGAAAAGAGGAATGAAGCACGGGGTGAGAGTCAGGTAGGGAGCGATGAATGAAGAATGGAAGGAAGGAAACATAAATATTATAAATAAGGGATGGGAGAAGGGAAATGAGCAGAAGGGAGGACAAAAAGAAGCAAGGAAGAAAACGAGGATGTATGACCACGGGTACTGTAGGAAAGAGGGAAGAAAGGTCGGATGGTAAGTAAGGAAAGCATGATGTCGGGTAGCATTGAAGGAGGGATACAAAGATGGTATGAAAGTAAGGAAATAAGGATGGAAGGAAGGGAAATAGGAAGTACCATGGAGGAAGAAAGGAGAGGAGTGAGTTCAACCTGTGTTTGATGTGTTCAGTTATATGGATCTAGCCGAAATAAACAATGCTTTGTTTTGATTGACACCACTTGGCAGGTGTTTCTAATATTTTGAACCCCTCTTGTTGCCAATAAGGTCACCAAAACAACATACTGAGAATATATTGAGGCTTTTTCAATAAACTTAACATCCTTTTTGTAACTTCAGGCCTCTGAAGAGATCCCGGCATCACTGCTCAGCTACTTTGAGGCCTCCAGAAGGCGAGCGGCAGCTTGTGAGAAGCTGATCCTGGAGGACCTTGAATGTATGATTTCTACTTAGTTTTCCGTAACTGACACATGCACATTTATGATAATAAATGAGTATTTGTGTGTTCTCAGATCTGACTGCATCACAATGTAATGAACGACCGGCACAGGCAAATTTTGTAATGGTTGACAAGGACACAAAGACAACAAATGAGACGGTAACTGTCTTTAATTTCATGACCAAGATATAATTGGCTTAAGTTGACAAGTACACATATTGAGAAGTTTAAATTTGTCTTACCTGTACTTGTGACTTATTTTAACAGGATATCACACCTCATGGTGTTACTCATGTATCAGTATACGTTGCTGACACTTTGCAGCCCACAGTTTATGTCCAGATATCCGATCTCGTATTTCCCAACCTTCATCACGGCACATATTTTACAATTGGAAACTCCAACAGAACACAACAAAATGTAAAAGTAAGTTATATGATATAAACTGAAATAACGATGAGCTCATCTAAATTTACTCACAAATGTACTTACTCAGCTTAAACACAAAGCCGATACACTGATATTGAATTATTCTGCTTCTCAGTATATGTCGCTGGTATAAATAGATGAACACACAATAAATTATTATCCCGCAAAACCATCACTGTGCACAGAAGAAAAAACAACCCAGACTACAAAATATGTTATTATACTGACTAAACTGGAGTTCATTCATGAATTTTCATTAATATACAGGATAAGGTTTCTTCTTGTGTATAGTGTGTCTGTATGTTTACTCTGGTGCAGGCTGACACGTCTGATGAACAAAATGAAGACACCAGCGCTTCCTCTGGCAGTTATGCAGATGAACAAGAGTTTTCAACGGTGCCCTGCTACCGCCATGGTAAAGGGCAGAAGTACTGTCACAGGTCACAAGGCGGCGCCATAGTCCAAGCGGGTTGTCTTTTCATCACATCCTTTTTTTAGACGTGGGTGTGAGTGAACTGCAGCTGGACATGGAGCGCAGGAGACGAGAGGAGCAAGAGTTTGAGAAGGAGCTTCAGAGAATGATGGCGGCGGGAAAGGTCAGTGAAAGAAAGTCTGAGGTAAAACCAGGCAGAAAATAGTGTGTTTTTGTTTTGCAGCTGCGTCAGAAGAAGGCTGATATGACCGAGGTAAAGGCTCGGGAGGAGCTTGAGCGGGAGTTCCGGCTTCAACAGGTTGATCTTGTCAAGAATATCTACGAAGTGAATAATTGAAAGCATTATTTTAACTATTTGGGTCTGAAATTTTGCAAGAAAATGTGCAATGTATCGATCCGACAGGAGCTACTCAATGACATGAAGAGACAAGTGGAGGAGGAGGTGAAAAAGAGGGACGAGGAGCAGAGGCGCCTGGCCCGACGACAGAAAGAAGAGGAAGAGAAGAGGAAAAGGGGACAAGATGAAGATAGGTGGAAAATGGTCCAGGGGAAACTGAAGGAGGAGGAAGAAAAGAACGAGAAGAGCAAAGAGGCAAATAGGAAGCAAAGAGTGGAAGAAGAGGAGAGGAGGAAGAAAGAGGAAGAGGTCAACAGGAGGAAAGAAACACAAAGTAAACTGAAAGAAGAAGTTGAAATGACTCGGAGCTCGCAGGAAGACGACAAGAGGAGGAAGCACGTCGAGGAAGAACAAGAAATGAACGTGAAAAGGGGGGAAGTGGAAGCTCGCAGGAAACAGACAGAGGAAGAGGAAAAGAGAAGGACCAATGGAGACGACGAGGGGCACAAACAGCTGCAGGAAGAACCGACGGTGAACAAGGAAGAAGAAGAGAGATGGAAAAAAGCAGAAAGGAAGCTGAAGGAAGAAAAGGAAATGGAAGAGGACAAGAGGAAACAGGCAGACAGGAGGGGAAAAGTGGAGAAAGAAGTGGAAAAAAGGAGGAAGGAGGTGGAAGAGGCGATAGCAAACTGGGGGGAGGAAGGGGAAAAGAGGAAACAGGAGGCAGAGGTGATGCAAATGCAAGAGGAGGTGATGGGAAAGAAAGAGGATGGAAAAGGGACGAGCAAAAAGGCAGTCAAAGAAGAGATAGCAAACTGGGAGGAGGAAGGGGAAAAGAGGAAACAGGAGCCAGAGGTGATGGGAAAGGAAGAGGATGGAAAAGGGACGAGCAAAAAGGCAGTCAGCAAACGACAGGAGGAGGAGGGAAAGCTGAGGAGATTTGTGGAGAAAGAGGAGAGCAGGCGTGAGGAGACAAAGGGGAGAGCAATTGAGGATGACGAAAAGAAAAAGAGAGGTGAGCCCATGAAAGAAAGTAGCCAGAATACCGAGGAAAAGGAAAAGAGGAACAAAGAAGCTGTAAGAAAGAAGGAAGAGAAAGCAAAGGAGAGGAAAGAGGAGGAAGGAAAAAAGAGGAGCGAACAAATGGAAGAAGAAGCAAGCAGCAAGATGAAGGATGTGGAAGTGGAAATGAGGAGAAAGCAGGAGGAAATGGAAAAGAAGATAGCAGAGGAAGTGAAAAAGGATTTGGGGCAAGAGTGCGAGAAAAAGGGAGAGAGGAGGCGAATAGAAGAGGAAGAGGAGAGTGACAGGATGGGGCGAGGGGAAGAGAGAATGGATAAGATGGAGGGGGCGGCCACTGACTGTGAAGAAAGGAGGAAAAAGATCGAGGAGGTAGATGTGAAGATGAAGAGGGAGGAAGCAGAAATGAGCAGCCCGGAAAGTGCAGAAGGGGAAAAGAGGGGAAAAGAGCTGGAGATGAAAACGGAGGAGGAGGAAAACAGAATGGAGAGACAGGAAAAGAGCAGCATCGAGGCAGAGACGCAGTGGAAAGAAGACAAGGAGACGAGAACCAGGGAGGAAGAAGGCAGCATGACGGCCAACGAGGAAGATGACCAATGGAGGTGGCAGAAAGAAAACCAAAGGACTGAGGAAGTCGAAAAGAGGAAGAAGAATGAGGAAGGGGAGAGAAGTGAGGAGCTACAACCAAAATGTCCAGAGGAAGAGGAGAGGAGGAAGAGTGATGACACAGGCATGAGGAAAGTGAAAGAGAATACGGAGGTGAAGGAGAGGAGGGGCGAAGATGAAAAACTACTGGAGGAGGAGAAAAGTGAGCAGCAATGGATGAATCAGAAGGATGAGAAGATGACCGGGAGGAGGGAGGAAGAGGAGAGAAGAAACACGAAAAAGAGCGACGAGAGCACAGACCAGGAGGACGAGAACGAAGAACCTTTGACCAAAAACCAACACCAAAGAGACGCAAGCAATCCGAACATTCATCAGAACATCACTGAGAATCTCCACGAGGACATTCACCACAACTCCTCATGCCGATCCTGCCTCTCCCGGCTGATGGATCAGAGGAGACTTTCTTGGATGGAAGTACGCGTCCCCTGGTCGGAAATGGAAAACAGGAGCAGGCGCACGAGTTCTTTGGCGTCCAGGAGAGAATCCAGGAGGTCCGGCCAGGACAACGACCTTCCTCCGCTTTGTCCCAACGCGCTGCTCCGGGATGCAGGCAGGGGCTCCCTGCAGGAGGTATGCCACTGAAGTCCTGTTTCCATCAAGACCAACACTTAAATTTGTAGTTTCGTGTACATATTGGGGAGGGAAAAAAAAAAAAAAGCTTTATATATTTTTTTTTTATAGTTAATTTTTCCGCCTTTGCCTTTTACACAGAAGCCATTGAATGGAATAATGAAGCTGTGTTACGACCTCAAAAGGCAGTACAAAACAAATTTTGGTGTTGGTGCCTTGGGGGCTTCAAAATTCATTGGCCCGCTTTGTCCCGCCCACTTTGTCCCACCAATTCTGTGTCGTTGCCTTTCAAGACAGAAAACTTGAATCGCGCCTCTCAAGGAATCCAAGGATACTTCTAATAGTATGTAATAGGGAAAATGACTGAAATGGTGACTCCGTTTTATGTCTTCCAGGTAACCATCTTGGTTCTGGAGGACTTGCCAGGCTGCAGTTTATCCACTCTGGCTCAGTGTACGCGACTCCAGTCTCTGACGATGAGAAGATGCGGGCTGAAGGTCTTGGAAGGAATCAGACGTTTAGCGGATCTGTGCTACGTCGACGTGCCGGTGAGCGCTCGGGTTGGCCATCTTGAACTGTCAAAGCAAAGATCACAGTTTGATTTATTTTATGATTATTTTTTTTTTTGCGGCAGGAAAACCAGATCTCGAGATTGGACTGTGAGGATATGACGGGCCTGAGAGTTCTTAAGATGAGCTGCAACAAACTGACGTCCATTCACGGTTTAAGCGGCGCAGAGAACCTGCACATTCTTGAACTTTCGCACAACTCCATTGCACGCATTGGTAATCACTTAGAGCAATTTTACAATGAAAATAGTTAGCATCAATCTTTAGTCAATTGATCCTTAATATCAATTAGTACCCAAATTGAAAAGATTTTACAGTTACCCTCGTTTCACTGCTCCACAAACTTCAATCCATTATTTGTATGCCTTAACCTCATCACCAATAAACAAACGACAGTTGTATCGAACTCAAGTCAATTTAATACTTGAAAACTGAATATTTGTAACTTTACAAGGGCGAAGTGTTGCAGGCCACTCTTGCAGGATTGTGCAAGTATACGAAATGAAGTGTACAAGGGTTTTTTTTTCAGGATGAACACAATTTCAAACTTTAACAGTTCTAAAATTATTTTGTCAACATTTTGATCAGGTGTTCTAACACAAATCCGTTTTTTATGGTTTACAAAGGTTTTGCTTAGCAATGCCTCTAATTCTCCATGAGGGGGCAGCATGACTATGAGTATGCCTGTGCTTTGCTCACCACGAGAAAATGACGTAATTTGAGTAATTACTTTTGGACCCTTAAATGTGCACCTGTGGTTGTCAGAAGGAAAAATACAGACGTTTTACAATACCACTATGCTTAGCCTGTTATTTTTTTTTTTTTTGCATTTTAACCATTGGAAAGCCAAGATTTTTTCTTTTTTAATTGGAAGAAAAACAGACAAAATAATCTCTTCTCATTTCTACAGATTACATATCAAGGAGTATTAAGGTGAGGTTCTAAGAATCCCAACACACCCTCGAAACGGTGTGGCAAAAAAAAAAAAAAATTCCCATTGAAAATATGTTTTCAATCCCACATTTATTTTCAATGAACTTAGACCACTGTCTGTCAATGTTTAATTTTACATTAGAGCAACAGATGCCGCAACTTACCCTCATTCAAAGCATGCAGCAAAATTCCACTCCTGTTAACATTTTCGAGAGTGAAATTATAATTGAGTGTCACGATTGTTGTCCTTCTCATCTTCTAGCTGGTCTCGACTCTTTGAGGAAGCTCCAGCGCTTGTCTCTGGACCACAACCAGCTCGTGAGTACAAAAGGGCTGAAGGACGTCTGCACCCTGCTGCACCTCGACTGCTCCTACAACCACCTGGCTACTGTGGAGGGTCTGGAAAGCAATGTTCTGCTCCGCACGTTGGACCTGACTTCCAACAGCCTCAGCGAGGTCATATACTGTATTTTGTATTACATACGGTAATATTACGGTTTGAAAATTTAAAACAATTTATATTTTTATATAGAATTTTGACAATTATTCAAATTAAATGTACTTTAGCATTTTTTACACATTGTGAAAGCAGAATTTGAAAATACTGTGAACCACAAATACATTTATTACAATTTAAAAATAAATCACAAAGGTAAATTTGTCGGTGGCACACATTGACTTTCAACAATGAGAAAACAAGTTGAAAAAGCCACCAACATAATTTTTTAAATATGACAATTTCCTGTTGTACAAATTAAAATAAATTAATGTTTTAAATATGACAATTTCCTGTTGTACGAATTAGAATAAATTAATGTGTAAAAAAAAAAACATTAAAAATTGATGATTTCTTTGCTGATTGCAATTTAACTTAAAAATGAATAAATTAGTTCAAATAAACATTTTGTCAATATATACGTTTATTTAATGAGACTTTGTATAGAGAAGAAACAGTCAAATAATTTGTTTATGATGTCATTTTACAATGACGCAGGATTTGAGAAAGTATCAAAATCAAACTTTTAAAACAATAACTGGGCTGTAGTGTCATTCCAAGCCAAACACAAGAACATATTAGTAGTCTAATCACTTCATAAAACGCTGCTTTTCTGCCCGGCTGGACCGTCTGACATTGATGGATGGACCCCACTTAGCAGCAGCCCGCTAACATTGTTGTAACCCCCCCCACCGAGGGTGCATGTCGTTAAGTGACAACTGGGATGTGTTTCTCCACTCCAGCCGCCCGTTCTGCAAGACCACGTCCTCCTCGGGGAGCTGCACTTGGACGACAACAGCCTGGCCTCCCTGCGCCACCTTTTCAGTGCCTCGTGGCTGCCGCAGTTGCATACGCTTACGCTGGCGCACAACAGGTAATCCAAACTGTGATGGAGAATAATCCAAACATATTCATTTTCGGGCCGTAGCGTTAGTTATGCACTCCAGTGAGAACTGAAACAAAAATACTACCATTGCAAAGCTAATTATGCAAATTTTCGATTGATTAATTGAACAATATGAAGGATTTGTATCATGGCATTTTTAAAAGTTTTGTGAAATGTTTTAATCTTTTCAGTTGTTTTTTTTCTGCTTTTTTTTTTCTAAATCACCTGAAACAGCAAAAATCTACCGATTGGTGTTTTTGCATTTATTATGCAAATTATTGTCATTAAAATGATTATTTTTTTTTATAATAAATAAATTACAGCAGACTTCTGTAGATTTTTTTTTTCCTGGGAAGAAAAAAAATCAAAACATTTTGTGATAGGTATCCTTCCACCTATCTCTAGTGGATATTAAAAGCTCAATCTATCAAATGTGATATGTATACATGTTTACTGCATGTATACAGTATCTGGATATGTGTATATACAGCAATGTTATATATCCTGTACGTGTCTAAAGCTTGAAAATGTCTTGAGAAGTATTTGAATCACACCGAGAGCTGTTTCTAATATTCTGACTCTCTCGCAAAGCCACATAATGTAACCAAAATGTAAAGAACAGCTCGCAGTGTGATGTAGTACACTGTAAACTACAAGCGCAATAATAAACATGGAATGAATAGCTCTTGACTGACAGAGTCAATCAAAACTGAAAACAGAGGGTGGGGGGTTTGCGCCTCATGAGATTGTGTACTTAATTGTTCTTAAAATGTGCTTCTTTGCGCGTTCAAGGCTCACGCACCTGCCTGACATGTCTGTTGCCGTATCGTTAGCGAACCTGGACCTGCGTTTCAACTGTCTGTCAGGTAATTAAGCTTTAAATTGCAAACATCAAAACCAATACTTCCCGCCTAATGAGCAAAAATTGTCTCCTAAGATGTGCAGGACGTGTGCCGCAGCCTGGAAGGTTGCTGTTCCTTGGATGAGGTACACCTTGCTGGGAATCCTCTCCAGCGGGAGAGCGGCTGGAGGTGAGAAGACTGCGAAAAAAAAAATTGACGCGCAGTGAAAAATCTCCTGCGGACTGCTCAGGGTGATTTGTCAAAGCAGCACATTCCTGGAATTTCTTAGAATTTCCCTTTGGGATCAATGAAGTATCGAGCGACATTCCAGCTGGAAGTCCAGAGCTTGCCGCCACCGATGTTCTGTGGAACATGCTGTGACTTTCCTGATCCCCCCGAATCATTCCAGTCTCTCAAATAACCTCAACATTCCTTCATTCGCATGTACTTTCCGGCATTAGTGCTGTACTCGTACGCGGACACCCATAGAGCTCGGGAAAAAAAAATTGCATTGTGTAAATGCAGAACAGCAATTTCCATATTTAACTCATCCTTCCATAGTTCTGTGCTTATTCAATTATTAATAAAACCATTTCCACTTCCAAATATTCACCATATTCTGCCTACTAAGCTATTTTTCACATTCTTCAAATTCCCACTTTTTTTAGTATCCCACATTTCCCGAGACAAAATTCCCAAATCAATGTAGAATTTCTGTACCTAATCCTTCCATATATCTAATCTGATTAAAACCATTCCAACTTCAAAATGCTCATCTTGTGAGCTATTTTTCACATTTTAAAAACTTCTATTTGTATAATTTTTACATGTTACCTTTATTTGACATTTTCCTCCTCATTCCACATTTCTCCACCGATTTCGACGATTCCAACTTCAGAATGTTCAACTCATTCAGGTTAGATTCGGGTTACTGTTTTGCCATATTTTACTGACGGTTAGCATATCAGCACATGCGCAGTTATTTTTAGAAATAGTACATGGATACAACACGTTAAATCTCCCTTTATCGCACTCATTTTAACTATTTTCATTATATTAGTACTATAATTCAGTATTTTTACATTTTACAACCCTCACATTGTACATTTTACTTCACTTAATACTTTGCCGTTTCGGTTCTAAGTCACCTCTGCACCATTGAAGTGCAATTGCTGCAGGAATTGCCCTCTCAAATTTTCTATGAGTTTATGTGGTAAATATGCACAGAAGGCTTCTCTGGGACTGTCTTGGTGACCAAAAACGGATTCACAAACCATTCTGTAATGGCAGCAGGTCTAAAAGAAGTTAGAGTAAACTTGGACTACCTTCCAAAAAAGCCATTAATGCTTGGCTTTGGTGTAATTGCGTTACGGATTTTTTTTTTTTTTTGTCTCTAAGAGCAAACTCGAGCAAAAAGAGCAAGCAAACTTTGCTCAAGGATTCCGACCCCTTAGTGTCTCAAAGGAGGCATGTTATGCAATGTTTTCCATTGATTAAAACAGTTCCCTGGTGTCTCAATAAAATGTCACTGACATTCTTCCGTCAAAATCAACACCGGATTAAAGAATTACGGAACACTTAACATTAATTATATCACAGTCCCATTGCTTCAGTCTCATACAAATGCCAAGGACAGCTTTTGTTACCATGACACCTGGGATGGAGCTAGGGCCTTGTGATGAAGCGCGTGGTTAATTACTGTTGCCAAATTGAAGACCATGGACCTTATTTGCTGAGATCCCAAACAGTAGGTGCTAAATTACGTTTTCTTGCTAATAGATTGCAGATTGCTTGAGGGTTTGATGCACTTCAGATTCCGTCGCTCTGATTGTTTTCACCATGGAACACAGCAAGCGCAAAATGAGGTTTGCAAGTGTCAGTGGAAGAGGCAAACAAACTTATTTCTGAGTTACAGAAAAGAAATTGATCGCTCCTAGAAGTTTGGGTGAGCCAGTAGCTGCATAAAAGCCATGTTTTATTTGATTTAACTTTCCGTGTGTGGAAAATGGATGTACTCTATGTGCCCATCCTGTGTAATATTACATTTAAAGTTTGGGATCGCACACCTGGAAAATCGCTGTGGGAGAGGCCAGAGCCAATTGTCTTTGTTGCGCTGAAATGACATACACACAGAAATGCAGATTTGAATGGAGTTTTGTCAGGTGATTTGGCATGACTCCTTCTTGTGACTGGCTCCAAGTAAGTCATTAGATCATTCAGAAGCCTCAAAATTGCATTGCTAAGTGGCAAATAAGTTGTTCTTCTTTTTCTAAAATGTTTACCCAAGCAGAAACGTTCTCCCCGCCTCCTCTCATTTTGGCCTGCACAAGGCTGGCAACGCTTTGCCTGCCCCTTTGACCTGCCTTTCAGCCTCAATGTTTAAAAAGAAACACAATCAACTGTCACAATTTATCTCTTACATTGGCACGTACACATACATACAGCTGACACAGTTTTAGCCAATATTAAAATATTTACATTTTTGTGATTTTTTTACTAGGTAACTTACATTGGCACGTACACATACATACAGCTGACCTGACACAGTTTTAGCCAATATCAAAATATTTACATTTTTGTGATTTTTTTACTAGGTAGACTTCATTGTTCAAACAATTAAAATTTTCATTTTTCTCTAAAATATGGAAAGCTAAAAAGTCAGCTTTTCCCCTTGCGATGAACTGAAAGTGACCTCCTCCGATGCCTAAAAGTGGAATTTACACTTTGTATTTCCACTCGCCTGTCTTTCATCCAGAGCCAGCGAAAACAGTGACAAGCATTGGGAATCTCATCACCGCAGAGGAAAACACTGATCCCGATAAATTTAGCTTCCACCTTAAGAGCCGGCTTTCTGGAGGAAAGTCCTTGCTGTGTGAAATATGGTAAGAGGGAGGATGTGGATGATATTCAGTAGTGTGCGAAAGTCTCAGATGTGTTGTTTTGACAATGCTACGCTAACTCGGCAGGCGAACAACTCAGGAAAGCGCAGACCTCCTGGGAAATGAAAGAAAAAAAGTATCAGTTTTTTTATTTGTCATTGTTTTTTTTTAGCAAGCAAGCTACTTCCTGGTTCATGGAGAATGGCAAACAGATGGGCGCTACCATTATTATTTGTTATATAGTCATAACATAATCACCTGCAATGTAACATTATTATTATTGTAGGCAAAACATTGCGATATATCACAAGTTACAAACCCAAATTTGTGACTTAACCCTTTCAGAGACAGCGCTGACTACAGTGGACGGCTTATCATGTTATCAGGTTACAGGGTGCATGAAAGGGTTAAACCCGAATAACCTGCGAAGTTCAGTGGAATTTTTATCTGCATTTTTGTAATGGTTCATTTTTCCCGTGCCCCCAAAAACTTGACATATTTGTTAGGTGTGTGCAAGCAAAGTCCCTGCCTTTTTTTTCTCCTTAATGTATATCACATATTTGCTGTATTGTGATATCAGGAATTTTAGTGGTGGTAAGACATTGCTATTTTATTACGATGTGCTTGCTACCCTAGTCTGCACTAGTCTGCCCTCACCAAAAATGAAATGGTTCCCCTTGACTTGTCCTCAAAAATGTCAGTTCAACAAATTGTTTCTTCATCCAAATCAAATATTGCACGGTAATCATTTTTTTAATTGTTGTATATTTTTATCCAGATTCTAACCACAAATTTCCCTTGACGAAAGGAAATCCCTTTTCATATTTGTCCAGTTTTTTTTTTTCTCAATTTTGAAACGACAAGAAATAATGAGGATGAGATTTTTTGCAGGGAGTCGCGCACTCCCCACCTCCGTGAGCTCATATGAGGTCGGACAGGGTTTTATTTATTTAGATTTGGTACTACGTTTGAAGAGTGCCAGACATCATGCCCGCAGGCGTGCAACAGAATCCCGATCTGTGTCAGCGAGACAAAAACACAGTCAGACCGTGGCAGACGACATCAAGCTGTCAATCAACAGCACCGAGGAAGTTCTGAAAAAAAAAAGTCCTGTGTTTAATGTTGTTGAACTAAAAGCAGCCTTTACCAAAAATGTTAAGACCGCCTTCGAGGCGCACCGCCTATCCCCTGCACACATCCTTAAAAAAGTCTGTTTAAAGCATCATGTTTAATCATGCGAACATTTAATGCAACAAAAAAACATGCCTGACCACCTACAAGTGCCAACTTAGAAAATGACTTATTTCTTGTTTTAATTTAATATTGTAGAACATAAATCAGCTTTCTCCGAACGTCTTTAACCCATGCACCACCTTCACTATCCCGCCAATGTTGATGCACACCCTGAGAGGATCCATTTTCTGATCCGGAGTACCCAGAGAAAAGCCACACAGGCACGTGGAGAACATGCAAACTCCACACAGGAATTGAATGTGCTAACCAGTTGACCACCGTGCCACCCCCATTTTGTTCACTGATGTTCAAAACCTGTATGTTTTTTTTCTTCGGTTGAACGCAAGGAATAATCCTTGAAAATTTGAAGAAAGTTGACAGAATTGGCTGAGTAGTATGCAGAACAAATTCAAAAGTTTGGGCACACTGATTTTAATCAGTCAGAAGTGTTTCCAAAACCTTTGAAGATTTAAAGATCATAACTGAGTAGCCCGGTGGTTGAGTGGTTAGTGCGTTGACCTCACGGTGTAGAGGAACCGGGTTCGATTCCACCTCCGGCCTTCCTGTATGGAGTTTGCATGTTCTCCACGTGCCTGCGTGGGTTTTCTCCGGGTATTCTGTTTTCCTCCCACGTTCCAAAAACATGCATGGCAGGCTGATTGAACACTCCAAATTGTCCCTTGGTGTGAGTGTGAGGGCGGATGGTTGATCGTCTCTGTGTGCCCTGCGATTGGCTAGCAAGAGGTTCAGGGTGTCCCCCGCCTACTCCCCAAAGACGGCTGGGATAGGCCCCAGCATGCCCCGCGACCCTTGTGAGGAAAAAGCGGATCGGAAAATGGATGGATGGATGAATGGAAGATCCTAACTGAAGGAGTTGCTGTTTTATAAATATATCAAGTTTTCTGAAAGGTTCATCTTTGGTGAACATGGGACTGAAATATCCACACCAAAAAACGGCCCTGAACCCATTTCATGTTTGGCGGCCTGTCACATGTTGCTCTGAGAGTCCATTTTGAACATCTATGTTGTTCATCGTGTTTCAAAAAACAACAGCCTTGTTGCCCAAGGGTATTTTTAAAAAAAAAACCCTTTTATTATTATTGACGTTCCCCAGCGTCCCGCAGAGTTTCCAGCCCCGCATATTCCCACATTTGGATGGCTCGGAAACGTCTGTTTCTCTGGCAGATAGTTGGGATTCTTCTGCACGGACATCCTTAGCCTCGGGCCGCCATTTCAACACCCCTCACTCACAGACTCTGCCACTCAGCAGGTCCCTTACCCTTACAAGACCCTGCTACTTAACTAACAACACTTGTTAGGCTTTTTTTTTTTTTTTTTTTTTTTTTTTACAAATGCAGAATTACTAGATGACCATTATCGAGAAAACATACCAAAAGCACTCTAAGAGGAACGGACATGTTACCAAATTTAATTACTTGAAACTGTCTTGACTTCTATCTTACAGCCAAGTTTTATCTTGTTGACAGATGCACTCTACAGGCAGAGGTTTCCAGTCTGAGGACAATCGATGGGACAGATACAGACATCCTCCGGACGCGCTCGGCTGTTGCTAGGCAGATAGACTCTGGCTCGGGTGTTCTCAGCTTGATCCGGACGCAACTTCATCAGATGAACGATTTACAGCGGCAGCACACAGAGCAGCTCAGGTAAGTAATTTGGATGTCAATGCAGGTGCCTGAAAAGACACGATATGGGCGCTATTTTAGTTCGAAGAGGTCTTTCAATGATTAACTCCTTGATATTGTGTCCAGTTGTTTCCAGATTTGAAGTTTGAAGTAACGTATACTAGACAGATGGACGACACTCAGTTGGGAAACATTTTAGTTTTTGGGATTGTGTGCGGGTGAGAAGCATTGCAGCAATATTTTGATGACTCGCTGTAAAGTGGGAAACGAATGCTTACATTTTACGTCTTAAGTAATTTTCGGAAGGACAAAGACAACAATGTCAAGAATGGAGCCATTCGTCAGTTTTGCCTTAATCAACCAAGTTTTTCTCCAACTTTCCCTTTTTTGGATACTGTAGATGTGATGAAAGAATCATAGATGCTTCCCCCCTAATATAGCAATAATAATCACTGCATGTGGGATATTTTAATGATGGTAAAATGTCGCTACAATGTTCCATCCTGAGTTAACTGAGATTCTACCCTTTACTTCCTGGTAGTTTACTGCCCCTTGTCGCCATGGAGTACAACATTTGGAGGCCTTTTTTGCAATTATTAGTGCTCAGAAACCTTAAAGTGATCATTTTGTAGCTTGTTTCACCAGGTAATCAAGCAGCGCAGCAAGCGACAAACAAACTGGGTGGTACAAAAGACACCATATCTTTTTAGCCTCGTCTTAAGTGACCCTCGAGCCGGCCAGGAATGCGGAGCTACCTTCTTGTTATGTCTGATGCACAGGGTGTAGCGAGCCTTAAGACAACGTTCATCTATTTTCACAAGGCCTTCCACGTCGCCGGCCCGCGGTGCTTCGCGGACCACCAAGGCTTTCAAAAACGGCGGTCAACTTTCCACTCGTCTCAGTGACCCATCCAAATTACGAAGCACAAAAGATGAAAAGTGGCATCGATGACTCCCCAAAGGTCACACTGAGGACTGCGATGGCTTGAGGGAGCGCCGGTAGCGTGGCTCTCCGCTCACAGCCTGCCCTCTACCCCCCTCTGGCCATTGGACAATGTGCCAGTTTGTGGTCTTTGCAGGGAACAGCGCCGCCATTTAACCCCTGGCCCGACCCGGTGTCACTGCAAGGCTTAGACGAGGTTGAGCGCTTTGACCACACGCCCGTATAGTAAAGGTGGAGGAACCATGGGGTCCGGCGGGGGTACAGTTTCACAACTTTTCCCTACAGGAAGCAGGATGAAAGAGCGCTTGTAGACAATATCACTTTTACTTTTAAAAGTCAGTGAACATAAGACTGCTGCAAAGTGGTCCAATATGTTGGATGGATACTAAAAAATAATAGTGAAGACGTGTACAACTAGAAGGCGGAAGGTTCTCAAAGAGGCTGTTGTTGTGAAAAATAGATTCCCTGGAATTGACCCTAAATTGCTGCTTAAAGACAAAATAGCAGACTTCCTGTTGAATTCTTTTGAATCTGTCCTGTTATATGACAGACATGTCCATCAAATTTTGCATTTGTCTGTGTACTGGTGTCAGCAGCGCTTTTTTTTTTTTTTTTTTTTTAACTCTACAAAAAAACCTCAATGGTCCAACTTAAATGGCATGCTCCACCCATAAGAAATGCTGCAGACAAAACTAAAAGCCATGGCCTATTTGTCTAATATGCCTGCTTCCAAATGCGGTTTATTTGGGCGAATTCCATATTTGGAATTCGTCATTGTACGAATCCCAGAATTTGCCTAAAAAGTGGCTGCGTCAAGTCACAATGGACGACTTCCTATCAAAATTGGGTTTGTGATAGTTTTTCTACATGACCCTTTCACCCTTTCATGCACCCTGTAACCTGATAAAATGACAAGCTGTCCACTGTCGTAATCTGAATCCCTGAAAGGGTTAAGATAGACACGTCCAGCGATATTTCGTGTTGATTCGGGAAATTGATGTTGAGGGCTATTTTTATTTTATTTCCTTTTTAATTGCGTGTTCTTGAAATGTCGATCAAACTTTGACACCATGCCCCACCCAAATTATCATTGATGAGGAATACTTGCTTCCTTGTGAGGCTCACTTGGGTGAATACCTTTGTACGGGTTTGCCAAAGTACAAGCACTGAAATGCTGCTGAATTGGCTTCACCTTCCTGTTCAGTTTTGGGCATTGTTCTTTGAGACATTTTTGTTTTGTCCTGTTTTGCCAGACATGTCTCCCCAGTTTGCTACTGATCGGTGAAACTGGTGTCAGTTTCACTGATCGGTGAAACTGGTGCTCATTTTTTCCCCCCCAACTGTCTGAAAGTCCTCCAACTTATGGTCAAGCTTTGAGCCCCATGGTCTGTTGACATTAGATGCAGGAAAAAAAAATCCGAGTTAAATCCCATCTGTCTCGTATCCGTGCTTCCAATTGATGCTCATTTGGGCAAATTCCCCAGTAAAAGTTCATCAAAGTAACAGCCTGGGAATTTGTCCCAAAATGGCTGCTTCAAACCTAAATAGACAACTTCCTGTTGAATGTCAGACATGGGTCCTTGAGACTTTTTCGTACTTCCTGTTATGATAAACATGTCCACCGATTTCGTGTCAATCAGTGAAACTGCTGTTGGGGTCTTTTTCTTACATTCCAGGGAGCACTATTCAGGTTCGACTGTACAGTACAGTACACCTCTGGATTTTTCAATAGTTGCCTATTGAGACTCTATAGCGATCTTCTGTGTTAATCTTGAGTGGGACAGTGGTTTAGATTCTCAGAGTGACCCCGGAGTGAACCAGCAGGTAAAAGAAGGAGGGTTACCGGGGTCGCTTCCCTTTGGACCTCCAGACTCCTCTCCCTCTTTATCCCACTGTGAGGGGAAGAGGCAGGTCTTTGTAGAGAGGGACGTGGTCTACAGGTTACTGGCTTGCTACCCTAGAAAAGCCCCCCAGGCCAGAGGACAGAAAGCGGGAATCAGAGACACGCTGCTAATAGATTCATTAAGTTTTCATTGGGGTTCCTTTGTAGCCACTAAAATCCCTTCAATGAAAGAGTCACTATATGCTGTTTGGAGACCCACATACCCTCTCTTGCAGGTCCACGATAAAAGGGTGTGGGGGCTGATGTTACTCACAACTATTATGAGGAAAAGAGGTCTTAGGTTTACAACGGGGTTTCCGTTCCAACGGAAATTATGTAATTTGTACATCAGTTGTAATACGCTGTTGACGAGGGGTTGCCAACGTAGTGCCCATGGGCAACAGGCAGCCCCCGTCCAAAGACCACATGCATAACCTGCGGGCCTGTTCTAAAAATAGTCCTCTGGTGAGATGCCTCAAATTTTTTTAGTGATGCTATTCTTTTTTAAATCACACCTGCGTCGGTGTAAATTTGGAAATATTAGAAACACACAAACAAAAACGAATGCAGTTCACAGTTCAATTTTGTGTGCATGACCCCACCCCGTATAATTCGTACAGACATGCCATACAGTGACTATGAGTTAATGTATATCCCCAAATAGTTTGAACAAATGAGTTATTTCAGAGGTGTGTCTCAAGCTGCTGGCTCATCCCATTCATCAGAACTCAAGAAATAGCTCTCCGTTTTACAAAAGTTGGTGACCCCTGCCCATTTTAGAGAATTTCTTGCCGGAGTCTGCTTACTTTTGCTACCTGCGGTTTGGACTTTAATGGTTGAGTGATTTTGAGGGGACAATACATTCACAATTATTTGAACGTGAGTGAGGAAAACGGGTGATTTTGGAAGGCGTAAAAACTGTGTTAAACAAATCTTGCAGCAGACCTGCGGTGGCGACCCCAGCTGGGACAAGCCAAACGTCATAACAACATACAATCTGTATATTGGCTACTGTACATGATACCAAAGTGTCATCACGTCAGTGTTGTCCCATGAAAATATATAATAACTACTGATGTACATTCTTATTGGCTTTTCTTCATGCTGTGTAAAATATTCTTTGTTGACAGCAAGGTTTCGCGACCACTGGACGCCATCAAACTTTCCTGCGGACACCTGATGGAAGCTTTGCATCTGGCCAAGGAGCAACGACGCTCCCTAGAACGTGCCCACGTCGGCCCAACATCCGCCAGCTGGACAACCTTGCAGGATAGTCTTGACGAGGTTTCACCTGCCGCCTCCGGCACGGGGTGTGCGACGCCATTTTGTGATGTTCACACATCTGCAGTGGAGGGAACAAGGAGCAGTGTGCAAATGGTGTCACACCATCAAGACTGGGACCCTCAAAGGTAATTCACTCACATTTGTTCGTTCCACCAACATGGAAAGGCATTGTTTTGATTGCAATTTGTGAGGGAAATTGTGCTAACGCTACATAAAACACACCATTTTGGATAAAATATTTCTCCTGCCTAAAAATGCTAATACTTAAGTCCCGTCGGCATTATCTCATAGGAAATTACCATCTCGCATATTGAGAGAAAAAAAACCCCACAAACAACTCTCTACCTGATTTTTTTGTACCGCTGTACCTTGACTGAAGTGTTTAATTCATCTGGGACTGAGTTTATAACTCAGATTTTGTAAAATTGAAAGAGCGACAGCTCATAATTTGGAAAAGTCATACGTCAAGGTACCATTGTAATGAGATTCATGTATCCGCTTTTCTGCTGTTTTAGTCCGAATGGAAGAGTAAATAAAAAAATGATATCCAGTCCTGTCATTTTTGTTGTTGTGAACCAGCAGGTGGCCTGCTAGCATCATGATAGTCAAGCAAAGACAAATACCCAAGTTTGTTTGTTTTAAGATGAATTTATTACTATTCTTGCCTTTTTTTTGGTTTTGTTTTAGCGGAATTTGTTTTCTCATTTTCTCTGTTTGCCATCAGCAACTCCGTTGCATCAGAAGTCGGAGGAGGATACGCCTCATATGAAGGGAACCCTGAGTCCGCTGTGCAGAAGAGCATTATTGCCCAGCACCATGCGGCGACTCTCATCCAGGTAAAATCGTTGGCCACTCCAGAGCAATCTTTCCCAAATGTTTTTAGACAACCCCTCCCCGACCCCCACCAAACACCCTGATTGAGTTGATGCACCCGTTCTCCGACACCCGCCCACCCCAAGGCATAATGTGATGGTGAAAACACATGAAAATGAATTTTGGTTAAAGTATTCGAGATCACTATTTCACTTTTAATGTGGCGTGCGTGTCCCCATTTGGGAATTCTTGTAAACTAATGTAAGGTTCTTCACCGGTCGACTATTTTGTGGGCCTCACACGTGCCGTGTAGCCTTGTTGCGCTAATCCTCCACGGGTCTTTTTTTTTTTGGAAAAAGTGTGCAATTCAACACTTCCTGCAGATTTATTATCCAGCACACAATCCTTTGAGGTATGGACGATTGGAGGTGTGTTTGTGTACGTGTGTGTGTTTGTGGGGTGGGCGGGTGTACTGTAATTAGTAGCTGTATTTTCACAAGAATAAGATAAAATCTTTATAAAGTCATCTTTTTTTTCCAGATAACATTTTAATGTGAGAAGAAATATTTTTTTCTATCATAAAATCTTATGACTATTTTAGAATAAAAAGATACTTTCTTATGAGAATAAAGTTGGATTATTTTTTAAAGGAAATATAGTTTTCAGAGAAAAAGTTGGAATCTCACAAGAATAGTTGTGCGTCCATGTGTGGGGAAGGTGCGTCGTGATTTATCAAATTCCAAAGAAGTGTGGTAGTAGGAGTCGCCCCTGTTCTTCCTCCAATTCCCACGGGGACTCATAGGATTTAGAGGCACACTGGAGCTCCATTTGTCTTGCAGCAATCTGAAGTCATGCAGAGTTCAGGGAAAAAAAAGAAAAAAAGAAAAAAATAGAGCCGAACATGTTTTGTCTTTGGAATGGAATAGCGCGTTGTATTTTAGCACTGTGATTCATGAAGCGTTTTGTGTGTTTTCCGCATCCAGGCGCGATGGAGAGGCTTCACCTTGAGGAGGAGGTTGGCTGCTGCTCTTGCCGCCGTCACGTCCCTGGAAGATGACGACGATGCTTTTGAGCTGGTGGATGTGGAGGAGTTTGTCATGGATGAGGTGTGTAGGTACACCTTTGCTAAGACACACCCTCACCAAAAATTGTTCAATCACAGAACAAAAAAAAAAAAAAAAAAAAGCCAACACTCAAAACCTAATCTAAAGCTATGCAGCTGTCTGTATACTCATTTGAATCTTTAAATTATTCCTGGACAATGTGATGAGCTAATAAAGCTATGTGGCTGTCCACATAGTCATCTCAGTCCCTGAATTATACTTGGATGCTACAGAGACCCTCTGATTAATTACTAAAACTATACGGCCATCTGCATAGTCCTTTGAAACCCTTAATTACTCTTGGACACAAAAGTAGACCATTTGATGAGCTACTATAGCTATGTGGCCATCCACAGTTATTCAATCAACGAAGTCTTCATGGACCCTATCCCAGATCATCTGACTATTTAGTAAGGTAATGCGGCCACTGACAAGTGCTCCAAAATCACAAAGTATGTTTTTTTTTTCTTTTAGCGAAACTCGTAAGGTCAATATGTGCCTTAAACAGTACAAGGGGTCTTTAAGGGTCAAATGGGCTTACAAGTTGAACTTTTCCATTTATAATTTAATAAATGATCAATAAAGTATACAGCCATCTACAAAGTCATTTGTCAAAAATCAACAGGCTCACTTTTTTTTTTTATCTGCTTCATGGTAAACATTGTGATTATAAAACAGTGATGTGCTTAATCAAAAGGTAATTTTATGTCATAGAATGTAGATTTAAATATAAACTGTGTGGCAAGTTACTTTGCTAAATGTTTTTTATTCAAGCCAGTGAGCTTTGTACATGTCTTAACAAAGAACCAGGAAGTACAATGTCTGTAAAAGGAAAAAAAAAAGCTGTAATTGCTGAACTTGTTTTGTGATGATTTAATTCGGAATTATTCTTGGACACTATAGTCGACTATCTGACTAATTAATGGAGCTATGCGTTCGTCGGCATAGTCATTTGCAATAAATCAAAAATGAAAACGTGAACCTTGCTCTTTTCCTGTCCAAAAATACTTTTATGAGTACCGGTAACTTTATTTATATATTTTTTTGTCTATATCAAAAGACAACACTGGAGCAAGGCTGGACTTTATGTGAGGATGCTCCTGCCAGATGTTACTCAGCGTCCAAGCAGCCGGTAAGGTTGAACTGATAGATATGGCTGACAGATAGGGCATGTCATTTCCTTTGATAAATTAAGGGCACACGTGACATCACAAAAAAAGGTGATGAAATTCAACAAAAAAAATGTAATCCATAAATCCATCAATTTTTTAAATCCGCTAAATCACAGGTGTCAAACTCAAGGCCCGGGGGCCAGTTCCGGCCCGCCACGTCATTTTATGTGGCCCGCGAAAGCAAATCATGTGTGTCAATTCCATGGTCCTTGCTCAAATCTGAACCGAAATGTCAAATTGTCATGTGTAATAAATGAGAAATGAGATTTTGCAATAATTGTTGTACCCTGTTTACACTCACTTGGACAATAATTGAACAAACAACAAACAAACAATTGACTGATTTCAAAACTAGTAATCAATCCATCAATTTGATTTGTTGTGTACAAGTAATAATACGATGTGATGATTAAACATTTATCCGGTTTCAATGTCGTAATGGCCCCCCGAGGGAAGACGTAACACCAAAGTGGCCCACGACAAATATGAGTTTGACACCCCTGCGCGAAATCATTAAATATACATACTATATACATATATTGTCATCCAATGTTAACTGAATATTATTAAAAACAAATGAAAGCCCTTCTCCTCCGCATAAACATTGTACCCCTCATAAAGGTCTGGTACTCTTGGATTTCTTCCCCAGAGAAGTTATTCGCTGTCCCTTTGTCATGGCTGTTATCGCCCCCCTCAGTGCATTCCTTTCCATCTGTCGCTGATTGATCTTTAAATGCGTTCTCTGGAAAAACATGCTGGCTTTTTTTTTTCTTGAGGCCTGATGTCATTTTTCACATTGCTGTGTTTTCTCTGCCTTCATTTACCTCCCATTGGATCTTTTCTTTGGCTGGCCAGCTTGCTCGCGCTGTACATCATGTGGGCCGTTTGGGTCAGGCTGAAACGGCCCAGCTGCTTTTACGGTCGATCCTAGTAAGTATTGTTTGCATTCTAGCTCCCAGGCATCTATCCGGAACATTTCCAGTTGGTTCTACCACCTCTGCCCAAACAGAGGCTTACGCAAGCTTGGGAGGTCAAAGAATGTGAGGAGAAGAGGGTTTCACCCCAGAGCTCCAATAGGTAAGACAGGTAACTCCGAACTAGCCACTAGCAATGCTAACACCAGAAGCGAACGGAGTAGTTGACATGACCGCTCATGACTTCTGACCATCATCTCTGGAATTGTGAATGAGAAATTTATGTAGTTTTGAAAATCATAGAAAATATTTTTTTTTCATTTTAGGAAAATGTCTTCTTCAACTTCTATGGCAAGCGACTTCTCCGAGAGATCAGAAAGAATTCTGGAGGAATGGTAAATTGTCTCACGACGATGAAGAAGCAGGAATAGGAGCACATTGAAAAAAAATGTTACGATGATAAAGCAGTTTGTTTTTAGGAAAAAAACATAAATAACATTTTATTTTTTTTAAAAAGGCAATTTTTGTATATGTCATAATTTTCCCAAAAGAAAATAAAGCTGTATTTTTTTTCTTGCAAAAATTTGCTCAAGAAATCTTACAAAAAATGAATTTCTTCCCATAAGTTTATTAAGTGAATCTTCCCGATGTGGAGTCCCACATGGTTGCATTCTCGGTCCCCTTCTATTTGAACTTAAAATCCTGAAGCATTACATTATTCACGGTTCCATATTACATTTAACATCACACGTAATGCTCTTTATGGTAATGTTATGCCTGTAGGGGCTTCACTAACAGGCACACGGCTGAGCTGATGCTTAGGAGAGCCCAGAAGATGAAGTCCAAGCAGAAAAGCGCAGGTATGTAACATTTAAAATTTGTATTAAGTATGCATTTGCTTATTGCTCTGACAAGTGGAATATATGAGCAGGGTATTGTAAGCTTGAGACAGGCGAGGCCATTCCGAACTGTCTGATTTCTTTTGTGTTATAAAAGGAGTGTAACAGAAAGTATGCTGTAATTCTTGATCCTTGGTCTATTTTGACTTGTGTTGTGGAAAAAATTGCATAATGTGTCTCCTTTAACACTAAATGCCCCTGACGGCATTTCCTAACAAGAAGAAAAAAAATCGAAATGTTGCTTGGTTTGATGGTCCTGTTTGTTCCTTGGGCTGCGCTTTGAGAGCAGAGCACCTTTCCAGCTCGCGTGCGCTAACGAGCCGTAACACACAGCAGAAGCCAGACTCTGTCGCTTCTTATTGAGCTTCGTTTGCGGAAAAGGACAAGTCTCGTGTCGTCGTTGTCTGGGTTTCGTGCGGTCCGGGTTGACGTGACCCTGCAGCTCCGCTCCAACAGTAGTCCAACCCTTTGATGGGCATGTCATCCTGTCATCCCGCCCCAACGCCGGCCAGGTCTTCGTCGAGTATAACTCATGGTGGCAACCAGAGCCGTGCTTTCATACTTCCCAGAAGTGAGGTTGCGGTTCCCTGCTTTTTTTAGGTCTGATTTAACCTCTTTCTGCACTCCCTCTGTAGGTCCATCAGGGCAACTGGAGGCCTGGAGAAACCAGCCACTCACCACCTACCAGCTGCAGCCCCCAAACAGGCTGGCACGGCACAACAGAAATGCTACTAGGGGTAAGGCCAAGCTGTTTACGGTGGGACATTGTCTAAAGCAGGGGTGGGCCTAAACAGAGACCTGAGAATAATTATTCAATATTCAACCTTATGATAATATTATGATTCAAATATTCAATGTTTCTTTTGTTTCCTATTATTTTTGTCAACAATTGTATAACTGCTGTTGTTATACGCTTTCCCAGTATGATTACAGTTTGCATTTGTATTTTTTGGGATGTTTATCATGCCTGTCTACCCCCGTCAACAATGATTAACATTGACCTACACCTATTTTCACAATCACAGTCACAAAGTTATGGTCGTTCATTTATTCGTCTGTCTCCCTGCAAACTTTCATTGCTTCACAACATTAGTTTGATAAATAAAAGAAAGCACGGATGGTCTAAGGGGGCGACAACCCGAAAATTGTGGGCTTGATCCTCAGACCTTGTGACCATTGTGAAGTGTACTTTAGCAAGATACTGAAACACTAGTTCCTCCTGATGCTGCGTCTTTAGAAGGTAAATGAGGAGACAGTGTTAAAGCGCTTGGAGCACCTCAAAGGTAGAAAAGCGCTAGCCAAGTGAGAGCCCATTTACCATTCAAATACGGCCTGCGGGACACACACGGTCCGTTCCGTTCTTGGATCTGGCCCACCAAGCATTTCCATAATCAAGAGTCCTTTAAAATTTGTTGTATTAATTTAGCAGGGTTTTTTTTCTGTTTAAGTTGGTCATTTAAAATCTGTCCACTTTATATAATTATTTCACATTCATTGATGTCACTGAATAATTGGTTGAATAATTAATTGTAGATAAATAAAACCAATATCATGGAAATAAACATTTTTGAATGTACCGGTAATGTTTTTCATCACTTATTAAATGATTATGGAAGTATTATATATTCATATTTATATGAAATCATTTTAGAATTTAGATTTCACAGTCAGAATGAATGATTTACTTTTAATTTATAAAATGAATTAGGCTTTAGACGAATTGGTTTTAGTGTAAAAGTAGCTCAAGACTCGAGTCTTTTCCACAGCGTTCCTGAAAAATATGCATGCAACGAGCTCGGAGGAAGTTCAAGAAGAGACATTTCTCCCTTGGCCTCCTCGGCCTGCCCTGAGGTGGAGAGATAATTTGACATTGTGACATCCGCAGCTAGACTTGAGAGGGGGAGAAGGAGCTGGAGGGAAGAGAGATAAATGAGTGGTAGGAGTGTGCGAGTGGGCATATATTATATCTTATCCAGAGAGAGCTGTTCAAACAGTCATCCGGGCATAAAAGTGTCCACTTAATGGTGACACCATTTGGTTTGCTGTGTTCATGACAGGTAGCAAACTTCATTTTCACTTTGGGAGGGGTGGAGGGGTAGTGAGACAGGACAGCCCTCTCAAAACCGACTTATGAATTTTTTTTCAAGAGAGGAATTGTCACGCTGAGGGTTTTTTGCTTCGTTGTGAGCACAAAACGAGTGTTGTCTGATTATAACTCCACTAAACAGCACGTTGGTGCAAATGGTGAACAGTTCAACAAAAAAAAAGAGTCTTCAAGTTATTTAATACCACTCCCACTGTATTATTTATCCTGTATGAAAACTTATGAATATTACTGTCTTACTGAGTCACTTATAGAAGTTTTAAAACTATTCTTCCTCGTGTGTGCCGTCAAGACATTATTATTCTGCCTCCTGGTGCCCAAAGAGAGCCCACCAGAAGGAGCAGCACAATAACTTGAATTTCAACATTAAACCATGATGCACAAACGTTTTGTCTTGATGTCACATTTAATTATGTTATTTTGCAGAACGGATTGATATCTCCACATATTTTAATGGAGAAAGGTGATTTTAGATTTGATCGTTTTGAGTTCCGAAGCGTGGTCACATATCTCAAGGAAGTATTTTATTTTATTTTATTTGGGGGGTGGGGGGGGGTACAATTTACCCCCTTGCACCTTCAACACAATAAGCGCCCTGTTTCCTAATTGTTATTGAGCCAAGGCACCGAGTTAACATTAAAATACTCTCATGGCACATCACAAACAAAAATATGACGCTGAAATAATGATGATCTGGTCTCAATTTACTCACAGTTTTATCAACTCCATGTGCAATCTAAGCCTGATCACAGAACTATTATTCTGTTGTATGAATGGCAACAGGTGGATAGATACACAGGTTAATTATATCTTCTGCCATCTAGTGGGAGATACGTTGTAGCCATGGATAGATGAACCAAGATGCATCATTTGTAGTAATTAAATAGCACGTTTGACCAATTAAGTGAAATTGGATAATTTCCCGGCACAGTATTTGGGAAACACCGCATTAAGCCGATGGTGTGTCAATGACTGGCTCCCGGTGCTGTGATCCTTAATGGACCCGTGCCGACCTTCTCTGGCGCGCCCCTGGCCGTGACCTGTAGAAAGCAACCCACCTTCCTCCCCCTCCTCGTCCTCCGGATCTCCCCCCAGTGCCCGAGGTCTGAGGAGGCAGCCAGGCCTGGCTGGGCCTGACACGCTCTGCCCAAGAGGGGTTAACGTTTCAGGGGGTTTTGAGTACGGGTCCTTCTGGAGGTGATTAGCCCCGAAAAGCCATGACAGATTCTTTCCAAGATATCTGACGCGGCGTGTTTATTTTATCCGGGCTTTGTGTGGATGTGCTGGACATGAGTAACCCACTTGAAACGGGTATCGGCTTACACGGAGAGGCAGGGAAGAGGATGGAAAGGGGTGGCGCGGGAGGTGGTTGACGAGCCTCGAGATGTTTTGTTGTGAAGGGAAAAAAAAAACATTCCTCGGATGATTCCTGTTGTCAAGTGTGCCACAGTGGGTGACGTGGTCCCTCCGCAGTCTTGTATGCGCGTCCATGTTTTGTGTTTGGGGCAGCTATGCAACTTATTTGTTTCGCCTCAACGCCGTGAGTAAACGGCGTCTTTTGTGTTCCTGTAGCGTAAGAGGTGTCGCTCCACAATGTTGTGCATGTCCCACCCGGTCTTCCTCAATTCTCACCTTCATGTGGAGACGGGTGTCTTAAAAGGTGATTAAAAAGTTCTGTATGTGTTCTTTCCACAATGGTGTGCATGTTCATGGATCGGTGAGCAATGCAATTTATTGGTTCCACAGAGTCTGCCTTTGATCTTAGAACTATGTGGAGACAAATGTTAGCGTTCAAATATAGTCTGACGTGGTGGCTCCACAGTGTTGTTTGTGTTCCAACAATTCTGCCCGGTCGGCTTCAAATCTTACATGATGTGGAGACAGCGGCTTTAACTCCTCCCCCATCTGTAGTTCAGTAAATAAACAGCTCGGTGCACTTTTTTAGGGAAGTAGGATTTACAGTATCAAAAACAAGGCATAATGGGGTTTTATGATCATCTTTGACAGCGCATTCATAGTTTATCGAACTAGCTGAAGGAGTGGTCGGGGGCGGACGGGGGAAGAAGCATGTCATTTCTTGAGTCCTTCAGGCCACCCTCTGTTCCTCCTCCCGACCTTCTGATATTCGCTCTTCTCCTCGGCGCAGAGACGAGCTCGCTTAATGCGCTTAAGAGCCCCTCTTAACAGGCGTGAATCCTACGGGGGCCCCCCCCGCCTGATATCCTGAAGGAGTACTGGAGGGGGTCTCGGGAGGTTTGTAGATTCGTGGGGGTTGGGGGCGGTTGAGGTGGGGTGAATTGTCTCCATGCTGCTGCCGTATTGAATGTTATATTCCCAGATTCGGTCAACCTAACCCTAATTCCAACATATTAAACCTAACCTCAACCCAAATTTAAACAGCATCTGTAATGCCAACCCTAAACCCAACCTAACGCATAACCTCAATTACGATAAGAACACCTCCAAGGTGTTAAATTACGGTTTGATCAACCCAAACCTTTTCCCCCCGCAACTCTCATCCTCAAAGTCCAACCCTGACTATCATCTTTTTCATGTGGTTTTAGAAGCTCTTTTTGAGATTTGAGCATCTGTTTTTTTTAAGCACTTATTTTACTAACCATAAGCGTGTCTGTGTGCTTATGTCGGAGGATTGAATTTATTTGATCAACTCTTGCAATTTTAGATGTACTATAGCTTTGACTGTCTTTTCATAAAGGTGAGATGAACAGAGCCGACGGAACGCAACTTTGTTGGCTCCCACACCTTGCTTTATTTTTGATCAGATTCTTATTACACACAAAAAAAGGGAAGATTTGGTAACCTCTTTCTTTCAAGCAATACATTTAAAAATATATTTCTAGTAGGAATTCTTTGTAGAATTTTTTTTTTTCTTACCGTCGTCTTGTGCCCAATGCCACCGTTAGTGTACCCTGCTTGGGTACTACATTTTTAGCTAATACAATCTAAACACGCTGACTTTTGCCCCCAATCCTAACCCTCTGTCCTAACCCCCTAACCCAAATTCCCGAACCCCTTACATAACATTTAAACAGTAACACGACCTCCTACTTTTGTCCTTAGCACCCAACCCAAGACCAAGGCTCAAAATGCCAACCCCAAGACTTAAACCCCAATCCCCACCCCATAAACCTGACCTCCACTCCCTAATTTTAATTTCCTAACTCGAACAGCCTACCCCTATTTCCGAACCAACTCCCAACCCCCTGACTCTAACCCAAACCCCTTCACTTTAAACCACCTGACTCAAAACCCCAATTCCGTAATTGTAACTCTTAACCTAAACCCCCCACCCCCCCCACTAATCTCCAATCCTAACACCTTTTAACCCCAATAGAAATCCTAACGTAAACCTTCTATCCTAACTCCCTAACCTTCATAGTATCTCTGTCAGAGTCAGTGGTTCTTTATAATTAACCCTAAAACTAGTTCAGCGCTGGTTTGCTGTCGTTTTAGTACATAAAATTGCTCCTGCGTCAATTTCAAACACGTAAATTGTTGAAAATACACATATTTAATCAAAAATTAATTCATAGTAGTAGAAAGTGACTCCCGACGGCCTCATCTTTCCAAATTGGGAAGCGCTAGCATCAATTTGCCGGCCCCGCTTGTGCACCCCCTGAGGGGGGAACATCCATCACTTGACACTTTTAGTGGTCCTCAGCAATTAACCCATGAAAACTGCAGCCCTTTCCCTCGAAAGTGAGCAATAATGTCGTCATTAGTCCCAGTGACGGCCCGTCAGTATCCATTATTACCCCACACCCGTGTCTACGGCCGCCCTACTGTCAGCACAATGCAAATGTTTACTCTGAGTTACGGCCTTATGATGGGATTTCAACACGCCTCGTAAATCAGCCGAGTTCTCCCTTGCTCCAGAAAGCTGACGGACTGGAGAACCACGGCGGTCGGGGAGAGAGTCGTGCGTCTTTCAGCAACTGGAAATCTTTGTCAACAAACATACAACGCTCTTAAAACTGAAAGTAAACACACCAGCAGCTTTGTCTGCACAAGCTTTTCTTTTTAGTCTGCCCGCAGTAACTTTTTGCTGTGACACACACACACACACACACACACACACACACACGCACACACATGCACACCCACACGCACGTTTTTTTTTTTTTTTTCAGCGATGCAGAGCCACTTTTGAAATTGCTGAGGTTCCTGAGGTTGTCGCTATTATTCGTAGGCCGGACAAATCAACATATTGAGGGCTTTCCCACACTGTCACCTATGGTTAAAATGTACATTTTGTATACAGTATCATTATTTTAAAAATAAAATCCCCCAAAGTCTCTTTGACTTAGCACATGTTGCTGTCAAATGAGCTTTGTTTGATACAAATCTCAAAACTAATTGTCACCTTTAATCATTATTGGCTGTTTTCTTGCGACGGCCCAGTTCACCAGGCAGAGACCGGCCCGGGTCGGGCGAGGTGGGACCGGACTCGTGAATGGCTTCGAAACCAGAATACTTTGAGGCACTCGGAGAGGTGAGCAGCAGCTTTTTAACTGTTGAACAACCTTGTCTTGGTATGCCTTTTAAAATTAACAGGGTTCTATGTCTCATGTAAACTGTCAATCCCAGAAGTCTCAATAAATGCAGTATACCCGTGTAACAGAAATATACATAACACACATGCATGAAGTACCATCCATTCATTTTCTACCGCTGAATCGGGATTGGGTCACGGAAGCAGCAGCTTCAGCAGGGAAACCCAGACTTAACTCTCCCCAGCCACTTCTTCCAACTCTTCTTCCAAAGCATCCTGCCGGTGGGACATGCCCAGAACACCTCACCAGGAAGGCATCATGGAGGCCTCCTAATCAGATGCCCGAGCCAACTCATCTGGCTCCTCTCAATGTGGAGGAGTAACAGCTCGATTCTAAGTCCCTCGAAGCGTCTCACCCTATCTGGAAGGGAATATCCCGCAAAGGAAAAACTAATTTTAGCCGCTTGTATCCGAGATCTTGTTCTTGCGGTCCTGATCCAAAGCTCGTGACCATAGGTGAGGGTAGGAACGTGGATCGACTGGTGAATCGAGCTTCGCCTTTCGCCTCAGCTCCTTCTTCACCACGACAGACCGATACAGAGAACACATCGCCGCAGACGCTGCAGCAAACTGTCTGTCGATCTCATTCCACATTCTCCCCTCACTCGAGAACAAGACCCCAAGATACTTAAACTCCTTGGGGCAGGATCTCATCCCCGACCTTCGAAAGGGCACACTACCCTTTTCTTACTGAGGACCATGGTCTCAGATTTGGAAGTGCTGATTTTCATCCCAACCACTTCAGTTTCGGCTGCGAAACGCTCCATTGAGAAGATCACGGCTTGAAGAGAGCAATAGTACCACATCATCTGGACAAAGCAGGGATGCAATCATGATTCCTCGGTATTCAATTAAAATAATCTTTTTAATATTAATAATATTTTATGATTTAATTCTGAAACTATTTTAATTATGAAGCTTGCACCTGCATTACATCTTCTGTGTTTCAAAGGTATTTGCTGAATTACTATAACACATAGAGGAATGCATAACTTTTTTTTGGTTTGTCATCCTCAGCGAACATTTCTTACCAAACATCTCCGCCGACTTGGTGAATGGTAGACGACGACGTCTACTTGCAGTAAGTAAGCCAACACAGCCACACACACACACACACACACACACACACACACACACACACACACACACACACACACACTTGAAATGCCTGCAATGCTAACGCTAATAACGTTGATTGTTTTGTGTGCAATGTGTCAAGCCAGAAGCAGGTCGTATGGAAAATCAAGCTACCGGAGTTTGGGCCTGCAACAATTTACTTGCCCAAGACTGTAGAGAGAACAAAAATACTGTAGGACTTCCGGTTGAGTCAGGTGAGTAATTTCAAAATACTCAAACTTCACTGTCATTGGTTGCTAGGCAGAATTGTTTCCCACACAACCAGCCGCATTCCCTATTAACCTTTTTCGTTCCTGGTACTTAATAGGCCCAAAAAAACACCCGTCCAATCTCACAATTGTCCACTGATAGTTCTTAGTCCAGACAAAAGTCCCTGCTGTGGAAATACACCATACAAAAATTGCCTGTTCGGACTGCAGGAATTGTTGATTGGCCCAAGCAAGGGAAAGCTAGAGAGGACCCACAAGGTCAGTCTGGGGACACGGTGTGTTTCTCCTCTGGCAGGAAATGGGTAAAAAAAAAAAAAAGAAAAGGTGGAGGATGACTGGGCCTTGTGTGAAAGTCCGAGGGGGCTGACAAAGATGCCAGTGAGGGCAGATGAGCACATGAAAGCGTCTCAGGAAGGCGGAGTGAAGGAAAGCCCTGTCCTGTCCTGTCCCCCCTCCACCAACCCTTTAACGAGACCTAATTGGATTCTGATGATGATTTCAAAATGATTTCCACGAGGTGCGCCGGCCCGGAGGAAGAAGAGTGCCTTGTCCCGCCGCCACCACCGGACGGGACACTAAAAACAGACTGCCTCTGTTTGCGCTGAATTATGAACATGTGTGGTAAATAATTTTGATCACCTTTATGAACATTAAGAGCTCGTCAAACCACAAGATGACCGTTTTTGAATGTTGACTTGAATGCAGTCGGACTTAGGACTGGGAAATGTGGCCTTAAGATAAAATGTTATTTTTTTAATAAAAATATCATTTGTGATTTTATTTTTCATTCCGCCTTTGATGAAAGAAAAAAAACAAATGACAATAACATAAAAACAAGTCAACCATCTAAGATTTATTTTATTTCTCCTGATCCCAAACGCGCTTTGAAAATGTTTTTTTTTCTTTTCATTGGGCAAATCACCCAAGAAAAATCACCAAATATGGTGGCCAAACTGCTAAGTTGACAACATTGCTTGTGATGTCCTTTCTTAAACTCCACTTTACTTGCGGCCTTGTTGTTAGTGGAAGCAGTGCAGGTCAGCGAGGACTCGTTTTGACCTATGAAAACCGTTGCCCCTGCATTTAACCAACATTGTCTACCCTCGCAGGGACCCCCTCCCCCCCACCGCCATGTCAAAGCAAGAGCCCTAAAGATTTGAATGTCTTTCTGGTCCAGGATATCCAAGGTAGATCACAGACCAAGTTAACAAACAAAATTGAGATCACATGCTCAACATGTGCTCAGTCATTCCTTGGCCCCCGCTTTCAGCCAATAGCATGCAGACTTTTAGGGTGGATTGTTCTATGTCAGTGAAAGACCCCCGTCGACTTTAAGATATCAGATCACACAGTACACGTTCCTCGGCGTGTCATTCGCAGGTCGCCCCGACCCGCACTCTAAACGGAGTGACACACTATACGCGGTGTGCCAGCTGTGCACGTATTCAAGCACAGATCGGTACCTGTTATGGGGTCTCGGGCCCCCATGCCCCGTCTTTACCACCCGCTCCCCCCGTCGCCTACACGTGGAATCCATCACGGCTGCCAGCATCGAAAGAACTTCACTGGCATTTACAGCTATTCGCTATTTGGCCCCCTCCACTTAGAAAATGTTTAGAATCGCCTATACTTAGTGTTACTTGATGAGTGACCCAACTTTCAAGTTTTTGGCGATACCAGCCAAATTTTTTTTTTTCTCTTTCACTTGCAAACATGGTTGCAGTGATCTCTACTCAGATCACTTCACAACGAGCAGCAGTTTGGTCGATTTGGCAAAAGAGGCTTCAAGTTGTTTAATGTCAAACTAAACGTAAAACAAAGAGAACTATACGTTGTGTTTCCAAAACAACCACATAACGTTGCTTTTTAACGCAAAGGGGAAACACCATGGATGGGCTAACGAAGTGCGTCTATGTGGCAGCGTTATAAGGCTTTAAGCAATGGAGAATTGAACAAAAATGGTGCAGCAGCACACAGACAGATATGACAACACTAAAAATCAGATATTTTTTTATTAATTTAGTCTGTATATGATATGTTTTTATGAAGTAAGATATTTCCTTAAAGGGAAAGCCAACCCCCAAATTTTCTTGACACTAATATATTCTGTGCGCCTCCACTAGTCTAAACAGGGCATGCTGATTCATTTTGCATTTGTGGCATATGAATTAAGCAGCAAAATCCACTAGGTTTTTTTTTTTTAGCCATTTCAGGGGGCCGCCATTTTGCCACTTTCTGTCAACTGAAAACAGTTGCTCAGGGCTCAGGTAACGGTCAATCACGCCTCATCTGTTTTCTGAAGCTCAGCCAGAGTTGCCTGAGTTATTTGATCATTTTGCACTTATTGACCAATATGCGCAACCGTACATATAATTTTTGTGCATAAATGGTGCTTGTCAATCATGTCCTCTTCTTTATATGGTGTTTTCCCAGTAGAACAAGACATTCCCACTGCGTGGAGGAAGGAGCGCATCTCTTTCCGGGATGAGCCTGTGTGTCGTAGCAGTGGCTGGGGTGGAGGGAAGAAGAGACAGAAAGTAAAACACTGACACATTTGTTTGTCCATCATGTCCTCTTCTTTATATGGTGTTTTCCCAGTAGAACAAGACATTCCCACTGCGTGGAGGAAGGAGCGCATCTCTTTCCGGGATGAGCCTGTGTGTCGTAGCAGTGGCTGGGGTGGAGGGAAGAAGAGACAGAAAGTAAAACACTGACACATTTGTTTGTCCATCATGTCCTCTTCTTTATATGGTGTTTTCCCAGTAGAACAAGACATTCCCACTGCGTGGAGGAAGGAGCGCATCTCTTTCCGGGATGAGCCTGTGTGTCGTAGCAGTGGCTGGGGTGGAGGGAAGAAGAGACAGAAAGTAAAACACTGACACATTTGTTTGTCCATCATGTCCTCTTCTTTATATGGTGTTTTCCCAGTAGAACAAGACATTCCCACTGCGTGGAGGAAGGAGCGCATCTCTTTCCGGGATGAGCCTGTGTGTCGTAGCAGTGGCTGGGGTGGAGGGAAGAAGAGACAGAAAGTAAAACACTGACACATTTGTTTGTCCAAATTGGCAAAACGGCAAGAACCGAGTTGCTGGGCTGCTTATATGTTTTGAGGCCATACTATCTCTAAAGGCCAAACACCTACAGGCGCTTTCTTTGACTATTGCAGACTAACTGTGCAATTTTAACACAACACAGTTCGTATCATGAGAGGAAAGAGGAAGCAGAAACTTTTGCTCACCTGCTTGTTCGTCTTTCTTAAGCTTGGGACAAAGTCCAGTTTTGGAAGTGCAAATCATGATATTTTTAAGTTGAAGCACTTATCTCTAGCCAGGCTAGCATTGTAGTGGCACTCCCTACGGAAGAAGTTTTGAAAGATTCGGTTTTTTTTTTAGACAAGCCTGTAAATAGATGACTAAAAGAGTTCTGTTGCATCTCAAGTTATCAAACTTTGCCGCCACGGTCCGCCAACACATCATGACAACACCTCAACTATTTCATAGTTCAGCTTTGTCTTTCTGTACGTGGCTCAAATTTGGTAGCAGTCGAATAGAAGTTTGTCTTTGAAGGACACCTAACCAAAAATGACCCTAAACTGTCAGCTTCAAACCAAATTGGCTGCCTTCCTGTGTCTTTTCACAAATGGCTTCCTGAAACTTTTTTGTGGGTCTACTTATGATTGACACGCTGAGCAAATGACATGTTTCTAAGTGAAACTGCCGTCGGAGATTGAATTTTACAAAAGCGATCTGAGGGTTTGGTTCTCAGCCACTGGCGAGTCATAACACTTTGCTGCCATGTTCCACCCACAAACAATGACGTTAAATCATTTTGCAATTTGGTGTAAGCTGTCTTCAAAATTGGTCACAATTGAACTAAATCATTTGGAGTTCATTTTTGAAAGACCCCTGGAAAAATTACCCCCCGGCCCCCAAAAAAAACTCTATAAAATGACCTCATCAATCAAAGCAATTTTCATCAAGAGGAAGTCTTCCATTTTAGTTTGAAAAGGACATTTTTGGTGGTCTTCAAAGATGATCTCGTCCAACAGATTTTCGCTCGATTGCTGCTAGCTTTAAAGCATGTATACTCAGCAAATAGTTGACAAAAACAAAAAAAGCTGAATCTTGTGAATTTTAGTCACTCTGCCCCCAAAAACAGTTCCTTTTGGTCATCATGTCACTCACAAAAAAAGTCTCAAGAAGCCATACCTGAAACGACACCAGCTGTCTGATATTTGGCTTGAAGTGGCCATTTTTGTTTAATTTTGGCTACTTCCAGGGGTCCTTCAAAGATGATCTTGTCCTCGAGATTGTGCCACCAAATATGATGCACAAATACCAGACATGTGGATGACAATTTGGCTCACTATGTAAAGAAGTGAAGACGCTGGCAAATTTCATGACTTGCCATTAAACCGGAAACTCTTAACAACTTAACTTCACATCAACATACTCTTTGCGAGCCATTGCTGATTATCCTTTTTATTATTATTTAAATTAACAGTACACATGAAGCCAAATAAAACTGCGAGTGCAAAATGGAAGTCCAGCGTTTATTTTTCGCTGTCGCTGAGAAAAGTGAACTCGCCGAGGAATGTGCCACAGCGAAAAAGCCAGAGAAACCCGAACCCACGTCGAGGGGATAACGTGGCGCTAGCAGAAATCATGGGTAAAATGTCCGAGCTAATTGCTGGCTCTAATAAGGGCTGCAGGATGTTTTTCTACAAATTGAATTTGAAAAAGAATGTTAGCCAAGTGGTGTCCTGACTCCACTTGGTTGAAGAGCGAGCGTCAGGTATTTTTTTGACCTTTAGCTCACTTTACATGAACGTTGTAAACAAGTCAATGCAGCGCATGTACACATGCTTTAGAATAGAATGAAATGTCTTCTCCTAGCAAAAAAAAAAGTCATAAATTCTGTTTTTTCATTTTGAACCGGGCCTGATATTAACAATAAGCTTCAGTACAAACATAAAAATGGTTTTAAAGGGAAAATCAAATTATGCAGCCCCTACGAGTCGACACTGATTAATATTGCGTTTGTGGAATATGCATTAAGCGATTTTATATCCATCTAAGGGGGAGGCCATTTTGCCTTGTACTGGTCAGTGATCAGGTAACGACTACTGCTCACCTGTTTTCTGTTTTGGTCATGTGACATTTGCAAGCTGAATCCTTCGGCACTGTGATGTCATTTTCAGTTGACGGCGAGTGGCAGTACAAGGCAAAATGGCCGCCTCTTGATAAAAATGGCTGAAGTTTCGCTGCTTGGTTCTTGTTCCCCAAATGCAATATGTCTTCAGAATACCGCGGTTTTAGACTGATGTGGCCATATCGAACATATTATTTTAAGGAGTTGTCATAGTGCAATGTTTCGCTCACAATATCACAAAACTGCATTTCCGCACTCCTGCATATCGGTGGAAGAAAACACTGACGAGATCACGAAACACTTTCGATAACTGACGCTGGTTTAAGATATACTAAAATGGTGAGTTTTATGGTCACAAATTACATCAAAAAGTTTTATGCTCGCAAAAGAAATCAAAAATGGATTTTGTGGGGAAAAAAAATATTTATCATTTTCTTTTGCCCATAATATCACGATATGCTGATTGTGTGGTGTATGGGAGGAAGAAAACATTGATGATTAATCCAAACACATCATGTTAAAATCCCAACAGTGGTGTGTGCGTAGAACAGAAAACGAAAAAAAAAAAACTTTCACTTCCCTCTTTCCTTTGTCATCCGTAATGCATTTTCATTTTAATATTCCCAGCAAATAAACAATTTTTAGTCATGATAAAAAATGACACGTGTAAAGCTCACTTTTTATTGAGCCTACACATTTGTCATCAATCATAACACTTAATCTTAATTTCAGTGGGTAAGCTACATTTTCAGTAAAACGTATCTAGCTATTTATTTCACATCATGTTAATACAAAAAAAAGAAATACAATTATTGGTTTACAATTGTGCGATGTTAAAAAAATAGATAAAAATGCTACACTAAGCGCCTTCTCGTTACGCCTTCTCCATCAAAATTTAGAAGGAGTTGTCTCACAATGGTGGTTATCTAATTTATACAGTCGCATGGCAGTTAAGAATGTATTTCATTTGACTTCGAGTGGAAAATTACAACCATTTGTCTCCCGACTTGCGTTCTGCCTTGGAGGTTCTTCTCCCTACAAACCATATATTTGAATCAGCAAATTGTTTGTAAGTTAGCTGGCTGTCTTCAGGACAAACCCCGGCCGGCGTTGTCTCTGCTGGTAGCAAAATTCACAGAAAGCTCAGTGAACTTTTCACATTTTCCTCCCCAGCGTGGTGTAGCTGCCACACTCGCTCACTTAAGAAGTCCAATAAGACCCTCAGACCCCCACTCTCCCTAATACTGATGTTTATTTGGGCTTTTCCTCCCTGTGGCACCGCACAGGCCCCGGGTACCACTGACCCTTGAAAGACAGTTTTCATCACAAGACTGCAATTTGATATCACAAGTTCTATTCATGTAATGTAATTCATAAATACTACACTGTAAACAACACAACTTGTATTTCTGGGGTGGCTAAAATAGTCATTTAAATTTGAAAAAATAATAAAATATAAATGATTGACATTTATGGCAACAATTCTAGTTGTTACAACACAGCAAGCAAATTGTTTGCTGTAAAACAGTTTGCCGAGTGTTTTTTAGTGATATCCTGCCCAAGTTTGATCAAGGTTTGTTGCCTAGAAATGTTGAGTTCTCCCAACTGAAAAAAGTGTCATTTCTTTCCACTGTAAACGGTAGTTTTCCTTTAAAAATATGTTTACAAAATCAAAAATGTTTGTTTACTTTTTCATCCCTCTTGATGAACAATGTGTTAGTGTAAATATTAAAGTTTTGAACTTTTTAAAATAGCATTTATCACACATTTATCATTTTCTATACCAGGCTGTATTTAAAAATTATATGCTCAACACAATATTTGTATCCATCCCTCTGTGGGTAAATTTTTACTTCAATGTACATCTCATCTCGAAATGATACAAAATTTCATGATGTAATTTCTCCAATTAGTGATTAAATTATAACATGACGTACTGCATGTCTGATTAGATCTTTCCACTCTGACTACTGAAATAATATTTTGTTTAATTTGTATTTTAGTAACCATCACTGGGACACAGAATTGTTGAAAATGCCAAAGTATATCTTTCTACACTATTTAAAACTTGTGTTTATATTCTAAAAGTGAAATGAAGTACATTTTTAAAAAAATAGCATATCGCAAGCGCACATAACTAAACAAGTTCTTAAAATGCTACTGGAGAAACTTCAGAAGAAATCGTAGCTTTTTGTTACATACCCGTGTGTTTGTCATTTGTGGGGTTCGGTTCGGTTGGGCTGGCCCGTCAGTAGGAGGAGTTCGGAGGGAGAGTCGAGAGGGAGTGCGGTTGTTGTGGATGTCTGTGTGGTGGTGGTGGTGGTGGTGGGGCAAGGGGGGAGCGTTGTCATGGAAGACTTTTGGGGGTGTCTATAAAGTAAGGCCGCCGCTGTGATGACCGCTGCACTCACAATGATGATGATGGACTTCATGGAGGACAAGTTCGGCCTGAAGAACCAGGCCATGAAGGCCGCGGACTACTTCATGGAGCCGACAATCGAGAGTCTGGACGGCGGCGTCTACTTTGCCAAGTCGACCCCAAAATGCGCGCAGGCCTTCGGCGAACACCGCGCCTCGCCTCGCTCGGACCAGCACGGTAAATTCACGAATAAAATATAATCTTTTTTATGTATTTATTTAAAATCGACTTAATTAATACGTATAAACATAATTAGTACATCGGGTATTTTTTTTTTTTTTTTTGGTATGTATATATTTATTTTTTTCGAACTTAATATTTGTCGCCGTCGGTGACTTCCAGGCGGCTATGGAGCGACCAAAGCGGAGGAACTGGCCGGCTCCGCGGCATCATGTTGCCGCGGCGACGAGGCGGACGAAGCAGCGGCGGACAAGGGCGACGACAAGGTGACGAGCAGCAAGAAGCGGCGCCACCGGACCACTTTCAGCAGCGCGCAGCTCGACGAGTTGGAGAAGGTCTTCCAGAAGACTCACTACCCGGACGTCTACGTGCGCGAGCAGCTGGCCACCAGGACCGAGCTGACCGAGGCCAGGGTGCAGGTACGCATGCACGCACGCTATTCATTTTGCGCTAACGTTAGGATTGCCAAAGAAAACACCACGTTACCTTTAAGAGTTTCTAGAGATAATATTATAAATTATTTGTGTTGCTATATTGACATATTTGTTCGAGATATGCCCAAGACATTTAGTTAGCAAACTTAGTACAGTGTTTTTAACGCTTTATTGTTTGCATGCAGTTGAATTCGAAACAAATTATTTCTCGGACATGCCAAAAGAAATCGTAGTTTACAAGCAACGTTTTGTTTACCCAACTTAAACTAAATAACCAATTTATTTTGATTATTTTTAGTGTTTGCATGTTTGATGTGTAATTCAAAACACAAGCTTCTCCAAACATGCCAAAAGGAATGGGTAACTTGAGCATGTTATTTCCAAATGTGCAACTTTAAATTATGTACTTAATTTATATGATTTATTCTGATTAATTTATTATTATTTCTGTGGACATGTAATTCAGAACAAATATCGTCAAGCTTTGCCAAAAAAAAAGCCTAAATAAATGACGATTTTTGCTACATATTTTTCATTGTGCATTCAATTACTTCCTTTGTATGACGTAACTCAAAACAAATGAAGTGAAGCCTTGCCAAACTTTTCAAAAGAAATCATAATTTTAGCGACTTACTCTCAATGTGCGTTCAATTACGTAACTAGTTAATTTCTTTGAATTTTCCCCCCATTTTTTTCAATGTCTTTCCAATTAGATTCGTGTTTTATTAAAAAAAAATCCCTGTTTGTTGCTTAACTCAGAACAAATGTACTCAGGTTTTTACAAACTTTCAAAAAGAAATAGTACATTTTACCAACATTCTTTTTTCAGTAAGTGGTTAATTTCTTAGTCCTTTATTCTTTAATGATAATCATCATTGCTTGAATGTGTGACGTGTAAGTCAAAACAAATCAATCAAGCACTGCCAAACATGCCAAAAGAAATGACAATTTCAGATCCATATTTTTGAATGTATTTCAACCAGCCACGTAATAATGATAATGACAGTGATTCATAACAAATGTAGTACAAACATTGAAACATTCACAATTTTTAATTTTAATTTTAGTACCTCATGCTTCATTGTTTTGTCAATTAACCTTTTGAGGGACAGCTTATCATGTTATCAGGTTACCGGGTGCATGAAAGGGTTAAAAGATTGTTTTCCTTATTTTTATAATGATTCGTCCATTTCTATTATTATTTTGACTGACATATTTGTTACGTAATTCAACGCAAATGCGGCTCAGGAATGTCATTTTTAGCTACGTGTGAAGCTGGGTCTCAATGATACGGTCAATTTGTATTGCTTATGGTTATATGACCAATGATAGTTGTTTCGCAATTGAAAATATGAGTGTTTTGTTTTTGTTTTTTTCCTCGGGATGCTTCATATTATCATTTGTATGTTTGACCTGTAATTTAAAACAAAATGCATCTCCCAAAGAATTCGTAACTCTGTTGACATGTTTCGGAGTATTTCAAGATGTCTGAAAATGTTTTTGCTTTTTAATATCCTTGTTATTTTTGGTTTTGGCACGATTGTTCAAAATTGAATCAAGCGTGTCAAGCTCCTCCAAACAACTTTCAGAAGAAATTGTACTGCATGTGTATGTTTTTGGTAAATCTTGATTTTTTTCCAAAATTATTATTATTATTATTATTATTGTTATTTATTTATTTATTTATTTATTTGCAGATGCCTTTCACCTACATAGAATATGACTCAAATTCCAAACTGTGGCCCGGCGTGCGTCAAGTCTACAATCTTGTGGATAACTACCAGCTGGTTAACTCGTATGGGTTGTTCCGAAGGATTTCTTTATTTATTTGTATCATTAGCACGCATGACTGCAAAATAAAAACAAAAAACAAATGTAGAGCATTGGCAAGAGTCGCCAATGATTCAGAGAAAATTAAACTTAGATGTGATTTGTGAAATGGGCAGCTAGTTACTGGCATATGATAATGGTGATGATTTACAATTAGAATATAATTTACTTTCGTGACTGACCCGCTGATAAAAAAACAAAAACAAAACAAACAAATTAAGATTCACTGAACATTCTTAAGATATATAGCTATGCTATGTTAAGTGGTTGATTGTGTCCTGACATGTTTTTTGACATCGATTTTTATGCTTATTGCTGCAATTGGGATTGGAACCCAAAAGAGAGTCTTTCAAATGTTCAGATTTATTTATTTTTGCTTAACTTTATCTAACTAGATATACAGTGATGATAAAAGTTGCTTTCACACTTGACCCCTGATTGAATAAATAAATGGATGGACTTTTCAAAACTTTCCGGAAAAAAAAAAAAAAAGGTTCAGCTCCATCATCAAATGTTCAAAAGAAAATCATTACTTGCGCTGCACATTGGAGGGTTTTAATGATCTTTTTTAAATATTATTTTTAGCATGACCTGTACTACAAATGTTTGAAAAAAAAAATTCTAAAGAAACTATAACTTTAGCTATTTCACTGAAAATAGTGTTGGACAGAATGTACATACGTTGACATTTGAATTAATTCGTTGCTTCCCCCACATTCAAAAATTGTCCGTTAAATTGGAGCAACATTTTTAAGATTCTTTCCAGCAATTAATTTCAAGTGCATTTCAGAGTGTTTTAAATTGTAAATTGGACATTTATGTTTTTTGTTTTTTTTAAGCTTAAATTAAATGTCTGGAGAAAAAAAAATCTAAACTTCATGTCATTTTTCAGTTCTTTTTTTTTTTTTTTTTATGATTTCTATTGCTGGATTTCTTAAACTGCATTATCCTCAAAAGTTGAAAACTTTTTTGAAAAGTACTTCTGAGTCTCTTAAATGTTGACATTGTAGTTGTTAATGACTTGTTTTTATTCAATCATTTAAAAAATTTTTTTGCACATTTGACCTTCATTTAAAATATCATTGAGCAATGTTCAACATTCACAAACATGAAAGATAAGTCACAACTACAGTAGTTTTCATACATTTGTTCTTTGTATCACAAGGTGTCAAATCATACTCTTTATTATGATTCTATATATTATTATATACAACATATCTATATATTATTGTGGCATATGTGTGTGCGTGTGTGTCAGGTGTGGTTCCAGAACCGAAGAGCCAAGTGGAGGAAGCGGGAACGTTACGGACAAATCCAACAAGCCAAAAATCACTTTGCCTCCGCCTACGACTTGTCTGTGCTGCCTCGCACTGACAGCTACGCGCAGGTACGCGCGTACAACTCATGACATTTTTGATAGACTTAAAAAAAATTAAATAAAATTGCACATCCACCACATATTATGAAGCGGATGTCAAAAAGACTGACCGCCAATTAGAGGTGTCACAGCAAACGGAATAAATGACATTCAGATACATTGAAGGAAAAGTTGAAGCAGTCGAAAAGACAGATGGTGATGTACGTATTCAATGACGTATTTTATTATCAATAATTATGCGGTTAACCTATTGTCAAACACAAAAGAAACACAACATTTTAAATGTAACATGGGACTTTTAAACATGAGGATTTGGGAGGTGAAGAAAGTTGTTGGTGCTTGAGATGATTGGTTGTTAATATTAGTAATTAAAAAAAGACATTATGGAAAAATCAATTATTTTGATTGATATTGATGGCAAAATAATGTATTTACAAATAATCACCTGTGTAACACTTAGATTTGACAAACTTTACAAACTATTTGCACTTTATTTAGTAGTAGTGGTAGTATTGAGTAGTGTGTGTGCATGTGTGTGTGCGTGTTTGATCGATATCATCACTTCTACTTCTAATTTTAAACATTGTCCATCTTTTTTCTCTTTTGCGACAGTCTGTCTAGTTGATTTAATGCGACAAACACTTGGATCACTGCTTGTAACGGTCCAATTTCCAAATATCTCTGATGCTCGTGAGCTTCCACCTTGTTTTGATATACAGTGACCTCATCCAAATGAAGAGCCAATGATGCCATGTGCTGACCATGGTTCGTCTTTTTTTTAGCTTACTCTCTCGGCTTAAAAAAGACCTTCCTCCGCCCATTCCTGTAACGAAAACATACTTGACGGCGACTGACATGGAGGGCGCTGAAAGGGTTAAATATTTGATCTTTTCTTCTTCGATTGTAATGTTTTTATCATCGTGGAAGGAAAAATTAAATCAAAATCTCAATTCAGTTTCAAATAAATACCCAGCCCAACTCTTAAGTCAAGGCATGACGAAAATTCCGAACCTTATTTTGTCGTCCACTCACGAGTCCTTCTTGTCCCGACAGATTCCAAACAACTTGTGGTCGAGCGCCAGTCCGGCCGCTCCTGTGGTGTCGCCCTGCATGCTGCCCCGAGGTTCGCCACCCTGCGTGGCCTCCTACTCCCCGCGCTCGGCCTCCTCCGCTGCCGGCGATCACGGCCACGGCTACTTCCCCAACCAGCAAAACCAGTTTGGCCACGTTTCCCTCAACAACTTCTGTGGCGACCCGCTTCTCTCGCCGGCCGCCAACAGCCACCACGCCTTTGAGACCAAACCCGAGTTTGAGAGGCGCTCGTCCAGCATCGCCGTGCTGCGCATGAAGGCCAAGGAGCACGCCGCCAACATTTCTTGGGCCATATGATCCCGCTTCTACAACCAAAAAAAAAAAAAAAACGCTTGGAGCCGCTTCTAGAACCAAAGAAACACATTTGAGACTCAGGAGTGAGGAGGGCATCAGTTAATGCACGAGAAACACTCTGTTGCCATCTCCTGGTGTCTCCATGTGTCTTCAGACCCGTGCTGACATGCTGACCCGCTTCTAGAACCAAACAAACTTTAGCCCCCTTCCAGAGCCAAAAATCACTTTTGAGGCTCTGGTGTGAAGTGGACGCAATGCACATGAAGGCAATAAAAATAATGCTTGGCATTGTCATGTTTTAATGGTCACATGTTGACCCACTTCGAGAGCCAAAGAAACTTTTACCCACTTCTAGAACCAAAAGAAACACTTGTGAGGGTCAAGTCTGAGGCGGACTCCAGTTAACGCACATGAAGGAAATATGAAAAACACGCTGACGGTGTTTGAAGGCACATGTGATCCCACAGTTGGACATGTTGATACTCTTCTACAAGCTAGCAAATGCGGACCCGCTTCTAGAGCCAAAGAAATTTTGCCGGCTTCTAGAGCCAAGGACGAATGTGGACCCAACTTAACACACAAAGAAAATAAAACCAATGCTTGGGTTGACAAAATGCACCCTCACGTTTTTATGGTCACATGGTGACTCACTTCTAGAGCCAAAGAAACTTGAACCTTCTTCTAGATGCTTCTAGAATTCCTCGCTCCCTCCCCTACCCCCAAAATCACTTTTTAGGCTCAAGAATTTGGTGAATTCCATGCGCATGATGGCAAAAAACAATGCCTGGGTTCACAAAATGCACCCCCATGCTTTTACGGTCACAAACTGACCCATTTCTAGAGCCAAAGAAAATTTGACCTGCTTCTGGAACCAAAAGAAACTATTTTTGAGGCTCTGGGATGAGGTAGATTCCATATCCTTAACCAGACGGCAATACAAAAGCTTGTTGTTGTGATCCCACATTTTGGTGTTTGGAGATAGCTTCATGTTTTTGTGGTCACATGCTGACACGCTTCTAGAACCAAAGAAACGTTGACTAAAACAAACACTTTTGAGGCTCTGGAGTGATCCAGACTCCAGTTAACACATATGAAGGCAATAAACAATTCCACTGCCAAAGTTTGGAAGCAGATGTGATGTCATCCCATGCTTGGCCATAATGACCCGTTTCTAGAAACAAAGAAACACTTTTGAGGCTCTGGAGTGATGTGGATTCCAAGCACATGAATGAAATAAAAGATGCTGTTTGTGATTGGAGATGTGATCACATGTTTGGACTCAAGAGTGCGCCGTGTCTTTTTGCCCCTGAAACCAAAAACACGGACCTGCTTCTGGAAACAAACATGGTTCCACTTCTGAAACAAAAACAACTGTAAACATATACTGGCCAGCCTCTTAACCTGCTTCTGTTACAAACAAAAATACTGCCCGGCTTCTGGGGGGGGGGACAAAAAATACAAAATTGTGATTCATCTCTGTAACAGAAAAACATACTTTTGGAAGTCTTTCTTCCGCCCCCGCCCCCAAATAATTACCACCTTCTGGAATCAAACAAATGCACACCTGTTCTTAAAAAAAAAAAAAAAATTACCCTGCATTGTGATCCCAAAAAACACTGAACACATTTCTGCAACCAAAAACACTGGCCCTCTCCAGGAACTAAGACACTTATGCAATTGTAAAACTAAAAACCCCTCCGCCCTGATTCTTGAAACAAACAAAAAAAAATATTGGACATCAATTCCTCAATCAGCACAGCTGCACCTTTACACTTCGTTGAGCGATATCAATCGGTCTGGCTGGGGGCGGCAAAAAAATTAGCTGGAGGTGGCAGGCCACGCAATTTTAAATGCAGGAAAAACCCTGCAAAAACAAAGACCTGCTTTTGGAAAGAAAAAAAAAACCAAAAAACAGAGCCCCATTAAATATAAAACAAAACATATTTATTTATGTAGCGCTTTTAGAAATAATAACAATCACCAAAATACTGAGCCACTTCTGGAACCAAAAGAAGCATTGCTCACTTCTGGAACCCAAAAATGCTGCCCCATTTCGAGACCCAAACAAATACTTCTAGAACCCAGTTAGCTTCAGCTTGGGGGAAAAAAGTCCCGGTGATCCACACAAACGGATGAGAAACCACAACATGTTTGCTTTTCCTCCAGGGCCGGACTTGAGTAAAGTAATGTGAGTGACTAGCATCTTTTTCTGCTTTTTGGCTGGCCTAACCTAAGTACATCAGCTCGTTTCTGTGTCTTTCGCCTAAAAGAACTCTGAATGTGTGATGTTTACATTCATGTGCCAAAGTCAAATAAATCCCCTGACGTCATTTCAAATGTGGGTGATTGTTACCGCGCTCACGAAGGGTTGCAGGAAGACGAAGAACGGTGTGGGTAACAAGTTCATGAACTGGTCATTACACTTGCAGTCCACTAGATGGTAGCAGAGCAGTGGCTATTGTTTGGTTGGTGGGGTTTTTTTTAAGCTACACTTAAAAAATATAGCTCAGTCCGACCATAAGGGTCAACCTTACAATTCAGACTAAGTTTTCATCAAATATTTGGTAATTTAGCTTTTCTCTTAAAAAAAAAAAATCTTTTTGTATGTATTTTTTAACGACGTATTTTCACTTTTTTTTCCAACAGAATATGACTTTAAAAAAAAACCACTTTTTTCCACCCCAAAAAAAGACTTCCATCTTGAAAAAAAACTTTTTTTTTTTTTTTTTACTCCTTTCTCAAAAGACTATTGTACATTGGACTAATACACATCAGATTAATTATAGCATCTATCTTTATTATATATTTAAATGTTTTTATTGGATTTCTTCATTACAAATTACATATGAAATTTCAGTCTTACCAAACAAAGTCTTTTTGTCTGCTGAAGTGATTGTGAAGACATAAGTGGACTTTTTTTTCCTCTGCTGGAGACGCAGCCCAGCAGCAGTGAGAAACTCGAAACATTTTCATTCATTCCTCATTACTGAAAGATTATATTAACTTGTCATCTGCTTTCATCCCATCCATACAAACGTCCAGTATATTGTTACTCCATAAATGTGTGAGGGCACTAATTGAACTAACCCATCCTGAAATAAAAGCTTGTGGTTGCATCCTACTGAATTTAAATTGCAATGATTGCCTCAAAAGGATGTGACAGCAAAATATGAAGTGTACTATCAATTTTGTTCAGGCCTGTTTCACGAATTAGTTGGTTTTTAAAAAAAAAATAATTCTGTTGAACCACCATTCAAAGGTGGCATCTGAATTAAAATTTTTTAATTGTTTTTTTTTTTTTCTCTTGTATCTACTTTACTTTCCAGGAGCTGACAAGCGACCACATGCGGCACCCACGTGCGTCTTCTCAATATGAGCAATAATGAGCTTTGCAACATCATCATCATCATCATCATCATCATCATCATCATCATCATGGAGATCCACACAGCATGTGGCCGTAGGACATGACCACGGCCCTCTGGAGACCAAACACTTCAAATGAGACCCGGCAAGCCAGCAACCGCTGACACACACAAACACACACACGCACACACAAATGTCATCATATTTTCCCATAGTATGGAGTACTGTGTATACAGCAATATTTAATATGTGCAGCACATACGTATGACAACACGCAGAAAGAATTATGGTGCGAAAAAGCTAAAAAGCTGGGCAGTGATTCATTTATTTTATGTATCGCCGCAGTCAGGCCGAGTACCACTCGTGTTTCTTTGACCACATTGGTGACGTCTTTTGTGTTGCGTTCAGGTTGCCAGCAACTTGTTCACTAGTTTGAGGAGCTTTGTTCGGTTTATTTTTAGTCTTTCTCCTGCCTGACGTTGTGCGAAGAAGATAAGTGATGTGGGATGACTCATCAAAAGCTGCTTTTGCACAGCAAACCCAACGTGGAGGCAATCAAACGGAAAGTAATCCTCGTTTCACAAATAATTTGCCCCCCACGCCGTGATCTACCTTGCATCTTTGCTTCTTATGCAATATACAGTTTTCGAAAATCACGTCTGGAGTAGAAATGGCCTCGTTTGGTGGTTCGATCCATCAGTAACCGTACCCCGCTGAGGTGAAGAAGAAAACACTAAAAACATGACACGTCTTTAAAAAAAAAAAAAAAAAAAAAAAAATGGATACTCTATCAAATGTATGTATCTATGTGTGCGTCACGGCTTTGGATTTCTTTTTACCCAAAGTGTCTGTGATAGCACTCACCAGTCCGTGGAGGCGAACTGAAGGGTCGCTGAATGGTCATCTCGCTCATCATCACAGCACAAGCCACTCGGCCCGTGACACTCGAAAGCGTCAACCAACCGAATTCATTTGGTCAGCACACGCAAAGAAAGAAAAAAAAACAAAAGAAAAAAAAATAACTGCTCAGCCCCTTTTGAAGATTGTTGCGAACCAAAGCAAGCAAGCAGATGAATTCCAGCCAAATGATGTAAAAGGACATATAAGTCCCGGAATGTGGAGGATTCTTTTTATTGAATATAATTTTCTCCGATGTGTTCATTTAACCTTTGAATTAAAGTGCCACCATTGTAATTGTGGCACATCCTCATCCAAATTCAAATCAATAGAAGTCCTTCCACCTCCATTAGCTATCTTGAAAATCAATTGAGTTGCTCTTACAAAGTTATGGCACTGCTCCAACATTTTTCCACCTGCAGGCTGAAAAGTCTTAATTGCATCGTCTCACCCTTGAACTCATCTTGGCGTGATTTCTTCATCCGAATGTCAGGGTTGCTGTGTTCGATGACTGACGTTTCAATGAGAGAATTTCAAAAAACATGAACCCTGCCAGCAAATTATTATTATTGTCGTCAATTTGTATGCTTCCAGAAAGGGGGGAAAAACACACACACACACACGCCCACATAATGTCCACACGTTGAGCTACATGAAACATTTATGACATGCTAATAGTGTGTTTTAGTGGCACACGTGTGTACGTCGTGTGTGGAGAGGTGTCATCATAGGATGGATGAGCGAGCGAGCGGTCGCTGCAACACAATTATGCGTGGCTCAGATAGGGTTATGCCCCGCCCCCCACAGCGCTTTCTAAAGGTCAAGCGTATTCATTGCCTCCTCAAAAAAGCTGACGCGCTCGTCCAATTGTGCTAACCTGCTAACCCGCTACCCTGTCTCTGATGGCGTTTTGATGCCACTTGAGCGAACCATCACTTGGTTTGCCAAAATCAAATCCAAAATGGACCCAATGACCACTGATTGCTGAAAGGAATTTACTCAGCAACACTTTCTGGCAACATTTTTGGGGGTTTAAAATGTGCCATGTGATTGACTGGTGACTGTTTTTTCACGGTTTACACATTACAACGACAACAACGATAGTGTTTTGCTGTAGTGTTTGCTGATTATCCTTGCATAAACTTGACTTTGAGTACATCGTCACCGAAATGTATTCGTCAATACAGTATGGTAATATTTCCAAGGAAAGAGAAGCGCTTCCAAAAAGTAGAAAAAGTTTTACAAATGTCGGTGATTATCAACAAGGTCCCTGCTGAAGCATGTATGAGAGCAGCTAAAAATGG